TTAATCCTTTTCCAGTGGTAGAGGTAAGAAATAAGAACTATACATAGACTCTCCTTTACTATCGAGTCCATCTCCTGCCATTTCACTAGTACGAGCTGTGAAAAGCCAAAGCCTGTTTCACTTTTTCCTGGGTACCTGTGGCACTCTCTCTGCAGTGATAGGCTTTCCGGTGTTTATAGTTGCTTGTCAAAACTGTTCTTGTTATGTTGCTTTATCATTTTTGAAACATTAAACTGACAGCAATTATTTTTTCACCGTTCACTAGGGAAGCTTTTAACTAAAAGGAATTGCTGATTAAAAAGTATTTTAATTCAGTCTACTAGAGAAAGAAATAGAACATCCATGCACAGAAGACTGTTGGTAAGAATGTGCGTATCATGACAGCAAAATGGCTTCCCGCTGCTGTGTCACATCATTGGGTTTTTTTTTCCTAGAAAAGAAACAGAACTTTTCCTTTTCAGTGGTTTCCCACTGCAAGATTCTGCTTTGATTATTCTTTGCCTAATAACTAAAACCTAAGATTTTTTATTTTTTATTAAAAAATAAAGTGAATAAATATACATTGTTTAAAAATTTCTTTTTTCTTTTCCCACCAGCAGTTCAGAAAGTAGTTCTCTTTTAGAATGCTTTAGTTTAAATACTTCCACTGGGTGTACTAGAGTACAACTACTTGTACTTCAGAAAAATGATGATGTTTCACATTCCTCAGGTGAGCTAATTGGCCAAGCACAGCCCTTCCCTTGCGGATTCCTCTCCTTCAAACAGCCCTGCTCGTTTCCCTGGTGAATGAGGCCATTGCGTAGCCAGCAGGGAAGTACCGGTTTTACCCTCTGATCCATTGCTGTGCAGGTACATCCTTTATGGAAGCGTAACGTTTGAGATTATAAGATGTCATTCCCTAATTTTCTGGAGGATGACATTAGTCTTAGGAGATAAACGTCCACTGATGACTGCCCTCAAAGAAAATAATAAGGGGTTAGGCAATAGATAACGCTTACCCCCACAGTGACATTGTAGGTAGGTGAAACGAGGAGCAGGCCTGTTGCTGTTCAGCTTTGGGCAGTCTTCAGCACAGCCCTGCCAGGCAGCGTGTGTGTGCTGCCACTCCGCTGTTGATGTATCTGGCAGGCTTGCCAGCCCTCACCTTCCTGAGTGATTTTCAGTTAACTCTCTCATCTGGCTTTCACTTCTCACCTTGTTACCCCATGGCTGATGCCCTAGTAGGCTCTATCAGAAATCCCTCTTTGTTGCTTAAACCCTCCAAGTTCCCGCGTGGCACTCAGCTCTGTTCCTTGAGAAGCTTTAATATGTTGTGCAATAACGGCTCCAAAATTCATCTCGCCTAGTTGCAGCAGGGCAAGATCCAGGTCATGAGTGCTGCTGTGGCATTTGATAGAAGCAGCAGGTCCCTTCGCTGCCTGCTTTCCCCTCAGCTTTGGCTCCACAGCAGCTGTGCCTCGGGGCAGATGCTGCAGCGCAGCCAAGGGCAATGCAGCACTGCAAGCTTTGTGACATGAGCACGAGGGAGTGGAGCCACCATTTGCACCTCACCCTGGCTGTGGTGGAAGCATGTCTTCTTCAAGTAACTGCACCAGCACTGAAGACAGAGGGAGCAGGTTCCATATCACTTGCTTTCCTGCTGCTCAAAGCACCTGCTTCAGTTGGAGCTGTGGCAGTGCAACAGCATCTGTGATTGGGCCTTCCCCACAGCTGAGACTTGATTCATTGATGCCTGTGGAGCCAGTTTGGCCAGGAGAAGTCTCAGCTGAAGTGCTTTGGCACTGGTGGCCTCTTACCTTAACAGCAGGAACCACTTCTGTAGCCACACCACGTATTTTAAAGGCAGTATCCTATAGCAAAGTAGTGGTACAAGTGGTACATTATTCAAGCTAACAATTTAGTTTGAGTTGCATTATGGAAGCTATAATTTCCCAACTTGATGGAGTTCTGCAATATGTATCACCTAGTGGGATGCTCAGTTGAGAAGACACTGTTCAGCTCGTGCGTATACAGTTGTCTCTTACCATTTCATTTCCTTCAGCATTTACTTGGATAGTTGTACACAGTTCACTGTGTAGATTCAGGTTTTGCCAATATGATACCTAAAGCCAGTTTTCACTTTAAAACTTGTCTTTAGATTGAACACTGTGGACATAATGACTTCTAACACCCAAATTGGCTTGGTTTAGTAATGATAGCGTGCTTGGGGGATGATGATAACTGGGGCAGGTACTTTTGTAATGGGAAAGAGGATCAACAGTACTGGGAGAGGGAAGTAATGGTAGCAGGCAACAGGCCATGAGGCTGGTGCTCCTCAGCACATCTTTGTTTGGTTTAATCAATCTGAATCCAGATATTTGTGTCTCTTTATAGTGCCAACCTGTATGTAAAGAGAGTGTTAGGTGTTCGCAGTTATCATGAACACTGTAATGATGAGGAGGAATCCAAATGGTGAATGTACAAGTTTCAACCCTGCAAATTGCTGCTGTGCATGTAAATGTGATGCTTAAAGCCATTTTCTGGGTGTTATAATCTTAAAACCCCTTGGTTTTATTTAGTTTCTATAAGGACCATTCAGGTTGTAAAACATCGATATTCCCTGGTTGGGAATTATGCATTGTTGGATTTACAGCTGCTAGTATGATCTTAAATGGCTTTTGTTGTATAAATCCTGATAGAAACTTCGATTACACCATTTTTTTTTCCTAGATGTCTTTTTTTTTTTCTTTTTCTTTTTTTTCCCCCTCAAGAAGTTTCTGGCTGCTTTGGCAAATAAGTTTGTGGGTTTGCCTGGAATTTTTGTCAGTTGTTGGGGGAAAACCTTTGCCTCTAAAGCGTGCTGCTAGTCATATGAAAAAGGTTTTGTTGCTTACAGCTTTGAATGGTTCAACAGTTGTGATGTGGTTGACTTTACCTGAAAATTTGAGCATTGTTTCTGTGATGTTGCCTACTTCCTAAGAGAAATAGAAAATTGAGCTGTGAACATAGCATGTGAACATAGCATGACTACAAGAGAAAACAGAGTTGTATTTCTGTTTTTGCCATAGCGATGCTATGTAGGACACTAGGTCACTTTTCTTAAACGTCAGCTTTTCATCGAGATCTCTGAATGTTGTCTGTTTCTTTAACTCAAGTCTTGAATTTCATTTCAGAAAATGATCTTGCAGCTCCCAATGAAATAAATTGGAACAGTACTTACTGAACAAGGTGTTAGGTGTTTTGAAAAGTCAGGCTCTGAAGACTTTTATGCTCTGCACGCAAAATCCATGTTTACTTTTGAACTTAACCACTCTAACTGTGGCTCTCCATATATAAAACCTAGTTTATTTTCACAGTGGTCCATTTTGCAAAGACGCTGTAAAAAAGAAGAGTTTATACTATGCTGCTAAGCGCTATAGAACAGCCTAGAGAATGATGTCAGGTTAGTGTCAGGAAAAAATGCAGTAGATAAGACCAGAACCTGCAAACAGACACTGAGTTTTCAAACTAAATTCTAAATAGACACTTGTTGAGGAACAACAGTCTGTTTCATTGCCTGGATGACAAAGCATAGTCATAGGGAAAAAAATTATGGTTAAATATAAACTGTACACTATCATACACTTTATGTCCATAAAACAGACAAGTTAGAGTTGCCAGGCATTTTAGTTTTGGTACTGTGTAACTCAGCTAGATTTGGCAAATTTGGTATTCTCTATAGCATTTCAAGTGAGTGTAGATGCTTTAATCTGTCTCAGTCCAGGTGTTCTTACTTCAGTCTAGTGCTGGCCTGTATGTAGAGAGGGTGTCACAAGACCTTAAGGGACATCTTAGGCTCAAACGTACAACAAAGAAACTAATTAGTAGATTTTTTCTGACACAATGCAGAATTGGAGTGTGTGTGTGTGTGTGTTAAATACTTTCAGTTATGTTAGTCATGACAGAATTTGACTGACAAGTGATGAAATTGCTTCTATTTCCACTGACAGTTACAGGGTTTTTGACAGCCATATGGAATTTGTTCTTTGTTAATGTGACAACAGCTCTAATGTAATTAAAATTATTTCTGAAGTTCTACATAGAAATTAACTTCAAAAGGAGGGAAAAGATACTAATTTACTTAATATAATTTCTGCATGTTCAGTTGTGTTAGGAACATGTTCTATTTATTTTGGGTTCTGTCACTGAGTTATTTCTTTGCACATTTTTCTAATAAAAAGGTGAATGTGTGCTTCAGCAGACTTTAAATTATCAAAATTGCATTTTGTTTTAATTTTTTTTTTCCCCAAAAAAGAAAAATGTCAAGGTAAGATCAAAACCTTACTGAATTTCTTAATCTTTTTTTATTAACAATTTAATTCTGGAGTGTGAATATTACACCATTTACTAAGGAATGGATTACCTACCAAAATTAAAGGAAAGCAAGTACAGTTCGTGCTATTGTAGGTGTATTAAGGGGGTATGTACTTAAGTTACAGGACATATGTAGAAAAGTATTTAGTCATGTTAGCATGCCTTAAAATACTAAAAAAGGGAAAAGGAAGTTTCTTATTTGGGGCAGTTACAGGATTTTATAAAATGGGAACAGAATTGCTACCAGAACAGTTTGTATCTGGTTTCTTGTGCATGCTCACCTGCACGTCCCAACAAAGGCCGTCATGGAAAAGGGGAAGCACTACACTGCACTGCTCCTCATCTGCTGTGGACAGGGTAGAAATGCTGCTTTTTGGGGAACAAGGATGAATTTCTTAATGTGTCTGTTCATTGAACTTGCTGTAATGTTGGGGTTGTTTTTTTTTCCAAATTTATTGACATACTCTTCATGGTTATTTATCTACCTAGAGACAGACTTTTAGAAAATGCAGTAAAATTTCAGTCTTGCAGAACACTTATTTAGCCTTTGATTTATAGTTTCTGAAATGAGAAGATGTTTTGACTTTCTCTGTCAAAGCTGGTCAACTCTTCAGGATTTTGTCTGATTTCTTTTCTTTCTTTTTTTTTTTTTTCCTCCCTTCCTTAAGATCGTGCTGGAAGCATCAGTACTCTTGATTCCTTAGATTTTGCAAGATATTCTGATGATGGCAATAGGGAAACAGACGAAAGAGTAGCAGGTAAGTTTTTTTGTATAATTTAGAAATGGTAGAATGCCAACTTTACGATTTGACTTGTTGTTTCTAGCCACAGTATATTTAAATGAATGTTCCTGAAGATGACAAAGACTTCACTGTGGTGGCTTAACTAGTTACTTAATGATATAATCATGTTTCAGACAATTCTACTATAATTACTGTAAATATTCAGGCAGGTATACTTCTGTATGATTCCAGATTTCACCAGGGTAGAAGTAAGCAGTATACTTGAAAATTGTGCCCCATTTTTGACAATAGTATCTTGACTTGACAAGATACAATTTTGACAATTGTATCTTGATATTGCCTACTGACTGCTACTCTTTAGCTGAAACATATGCTAAAATAATGTGTAGTAGTCTGTCACTTCACATAAGTGATAGCCTTCTGATGTAAATAAAGATCTGTAGCAAGTAATCCCTTAAATATAGCTTAAGTGTAGGTCAAACAAGTATTACCAAACCCAGAGTAACTTTGGATTTTCTCAGTTCCATAAATCATTTTTGCTACAAATCTTTATTGTAGTGCTTTTCTTCCCTCCGATTTGATTTCTTGATTGATTAAGATTGTTTCAAAGAAGTCACAGGGGGTCTTGCTTCTTGCAGTTGTTCTGAACTTTAGGAGCCTATGACACTTTTAATTTCAGGATTTATGAGTGTCTCAACAAAGGCAGAGACTGCTTTTCTCTTATATTTGAAATTATTATAATAATCTCTTTTGAATGTGAGCTGTGTTTCTCTAGGCTTTTTTCTACGTTTAGAAAGATGTTATTCACAGCTTCTATAGAGAAACCCATAGAATCTCTGTGGAAACTGCTGCAGAACTCTGTTTACTTCTTGTCAGTACTGTTTAATATAAGCACATGAAGGTTGCCCATGTTGTCACCTTTGTTCACGTAGTTTAGCTTTATGAAACCTGAAATGATGCAAGCTGCTATGTCTCTGCTCCACACTGTTGTCTCTGCTCTCAACCACCATGCTTCCTTGTAGCAGAAATACTGTCACGTTCTTAAGCAAAGAAAAGGCTGGTGAAACATAGTTCTGTATAGGGTCTTGATTCTGAAATTTCCTCTCAGTCAGTCTGAAATGGCAGCCAATATTGACCCAGAGAGAAGAAACAAACGTGTTGGGGAAAATCTCATTTTTCTTACCCGGCCAGTGTTTTTGAGGTAAAGAACTGGATTAAGTTCATGAACATGAAGTAGATTCAGGTATTTTGATGCTCTGGTCTGGAACTATAGGTACTTACTGTTCTTTGATTTATATGGAAACTTCCGGATTCTTATTACTATCTAATTACTGTCTTTTTCAAGATACATAGTCAGTTTCAGGGAGGGAAAAGTTGTGAATACACAGCTAATCTTCTAAAGAAAAGTGTGTTTAATGAACTCTCTTATTTCTGAATGGTGTCCTGGAATACAAGGAAGAAACAAGCAAATTCCAAATATTTTAATTTTTTTATCATCTTGGTAGATTTTTCCTGTTTCTAGCCAATATTTCTTAGCAATAGTATTATTGAGAGAGCTAGTCTGATCTTTGCTTGGAGCTGTCTTTGGTAACTGAATTGGATTAGAGATACTTAAAGAAAGTAAAGACCAGTCAGAACTGACATCCAGTAGAACCATTAATCTTCTGATGGAACATTAATGACAAAATATTGATTACTTCCCATATGAAATGAATATATCCTAAAATTAAATATTCAATTTAATTAAGTACATCCTAAAATAGAGATTTCTGAAGTATATTAATTGACCACTGTCATATGTAATAAACGAGTAAATTATATGGCGGGATATTTACGTTATATTTCTGTGTTCCTTTAGAGGGGTTTTTCCATGAGTTGTTAAAAAGTGACAGAAGAACTTGAACAAAGCAAGACCAGATATTATTTCTGGATGTTTGTAAAGGCTTGAAGTTTTCCAAAATATCATATCTCTATTTAAAATTCTGGTTCAATTATAATTGCTTAAAATCTTTTGCCTCAATTCTGTTTAAAACCATCTACCTAAGCAATAAACTTCAGAAAACTGATAAGTATTTAGTTTGTACATAAAAAAAAAAAAAAAAATTGTCAGTAGAGGTTTCAAAAACTTTTCATATCCGGTTCCTTCTTTGAACAAACTCTGGCTTATAACTTCTGCTTTTGAAGTAGTTCTTGGCTGCAAATGTGCTTTGAAACATAATTAGAAGTCCATCCTGCTTATTTCTTCTCATATTCTTTCTTCTCAGCAAAGAGCTTTGATGCTTGTAATTGTAATATGTTGCAAGAGCTTGAGACCGTGATCTGATAGTCATACTTTTCTTTTGATAGTTCTCAGAGTGAAGTTTGGATACCTTCTTTTTGTAAATGTCTTTCACATGCTGTTATCTTTGGTTTTTTACTGTTTGGACAGAACTTGTGATTTCCATATCAATTCCCTAATCAAACGTCAAATGAAGGATAGGAAATAAATGCACATTAGTCACTAAAAGAAACTAGGCCTCAAGTCAGAAGGACTTTAAAACTGAAGTTATATCCATTTACAAGTAGTTTTATACCATGGCAATGTTAGAAAGCACCAAATCAAAAAAAATGTGCATGTATACCATCCAAAGCCATCCTTTTTTTTTTTTTGCTGTTATGGGTGGCATTAGACTTAAATGCCATATTTTTCTTATTTTACCAATCCAAAAATTCCTAGAAATAACTAGAAAGACTCTTGTTTGAAATGGATTTTTGTATTTCAAATCTGTTAGCCCAGTTCATTCCATCTGGTGTTAGAATCAAAATTTGGCCTAGAAGCAAACATATTTTGAAGAGTTGGTGTGAACTTGTCGCTTGGAAAATCTGATCAAAGGAAGCTAAGTAAGTCTCTTCTATAATATTATTGTCAGCTTGACTGAAAAGATGCAAGTCACAAAAGCCAGTCAGGATGTGGATGAGCATGACAAAACTAACTGCAATTTAGAAAACATCAATTTTCTTCCTCATCTACCTGATCTTAACATAAATATAGAGAGCTGTATAACAAATTGGATAATACATTTGTAATCCACAAAGAGTTTTAAAAAAAATATATGCATCCTTAGAGCTTGCAATTTACTAGATGGAAACAACTTGTTCTCTAATACTAATAAGTCTTGAATCTGGATTCATGTATTAAGTGCTGAAACAGTTGATGCTAATATAAAGTCAGTACTGAAGGATTTATTAGGCTTAGTAAACCGTCTCCAAATACTCATTTTCATAAAACAACCAGAGAATGGAGAACCTGTTCCATTCCTGTGGAATAAGAGTACACCTAACTTGAAGTCAAATACCCACAGCGTTTGGTGTAAAATAGGTCATTTGACATTCAGTCTAAGGAACTGAATCTTCTGCCACTTGTTAAATTGACCATGTGCACAAGTATGTTTGTGGTCTACAAACTCTGCTTTCCATAATTCAAAATATTTAGTATTGCTAGCCTTTGACATCTACTGTTCTGAGAATCTGATAATTTTACAAACACAATGCTTTGTTTTCAATGATAATAAAATTAATTCTCATAATCAAACCCCATTTCAGTCATTTGTGTTCTCAGGTCTCCCTGCATTAGCATTGATATCTGGCTAGACTATGTATCTTTGACAGGCAAAATAAATTAGTGTCCCTGTCAGGACTTGGAGGAGACAAGTTCAAAAAGCACTTGATTATTTTTTGAGGATTTCATTTATCTAGTTAGGTTCACCATTTCTGCTTTTTATAGAGCCTTTTTGTTTGTGTTTTTAATAAATACCATGCAGTCAAAATCAGAGGAGAACCTTCAAGAAAAACAACAAACCAAAAATGAAACAAGGAAGCACTTGTAATCTTTTTTGAGGATTTCATTTATCTAGAGTTAGGTTCACCATTTCTGCTTTTTATAGAGCCTTTTTGTTTGTGTTTTTAATAAATACCATGCAGTCAAAATCAGAGGAGAACCTTCAAGAAAAACAAACCAAAAATGAAACAAGGTCATCTATAATACAACAATCATGTGCTAACATTCTGTGTTCAATTTGTTCTGGAAAAGTCCTGGAAGTGAGTCTGGTTTTGTCTTCCCATTTCCTGTTATAAGCGCTGTTAAGCAGTTGTAAGCCTCCTTAATTTCCTTCCATGTCAATAGTCTCCAAGGGTTGAACCTAAAGATGAGTCTGCTGTAGTTCAGGTCTTCTCTGTAGCTGGTCCTGTCTCATTAACTTAAAAGCATTAATGAGGCTAATGAGTCAAGTGTTGGCTTCCCACTTAAGTTTTCTGTTGGCTTGCTCACAAACTCTCCTGCTGATCATAATTTTTGTAGCTTGATAGTCATCTCTTGTGCTATAGTATAACGTTCAGGTCTATTTGTGTTACATCCTGAAGTGTTTGACACTGACTGCAAATATGGTCACTTCTTCTTAGGACTTGTTTCAGGGAAGTGGGAATTAGGAAACCTTAGGTCTTGAGAAATATTGTGATAGTGGCTTCATTGCTAGCTGTCATCAAAGAATTTAAATTTCTTCTGATTGACTCAAAATGTACGCACAAATACATCAAATGTAATGGGATGTCATACTTGAAATAACAGGAAACAAACAACAACAATACTTGTAACAGTATGTCCAGATTTGAGGAAAGCTAGGTAAGCACAGGGGCCCTTGATACTTAGAGAACGACTTTAACAGAAAATGCCACAATGCCCTATAGGGCTTCACAACATGACACTACCTTTCTACTGTCATCTGAAGTACTTCATACTGAAGTATGCAAAAGTCTGACAAGATAATTCATATGTAGAATGTAAAATTGTAGTACAATTGGAAAAAATACTGTTTATACAAGAGCAAGTACTAAAAAATTTTAGGACTACTGTTTATTTCTTCATTTTTTTGGCCTTGGCCCAACAAGACTGCTGTTCATGCAGATTACAACTTGTTCAGTATCCCAAATCACAGGTTGTTCTTTCTAGCTAACTGATGAATCTATGGTTCAGTAACTTATGAAGTCATTAACAAATGTGGGTGAATAGAATAAAATCCTTGAGAAAGCTTCATTTTTAAATTTAAAATCTGAGCAGACAAGCTACCCACTCCTTATATGCACTTCTTTTTTAAGGTGTATTAGATTAGCTGCATGAAAATGAAAAATTTAAAAATTGCTAATCTGAAAGTCTTGCTTTAATGCTTAGTGGCTTGATTGAAAGATTCAGCTCTTTTAGGTCTAAGTATTTTTCAGAACAGTAGCTGTAGGGATTTGAGCCCTTTATAAAAGGAAAAAGCAAGAGAACCAGTTAAATGTGGAACAGTTTTCTCCCCTAAGGCAAGACAGATTGCTCAGAAATACCCTTTCCTTGTAGGAAGATTAACCAACCTGTCCTGGTTCTGGCAAGGATAGAGTTAATTTCCCAAGGAGCCAGGACAGGTGAGCCAAGCTGGCCGGGGGCTATTGCATACCATGTGACGTCATGCTCACCATAAAAGGGGGCCAGTCGGGCAGGGGCGGGCTCGGCGTGGCTCCTGGCTCCGGGACGGGCTGAGCGTTAGGTCGTTGGATCGGTAAATCGTTCTCTGTTTTCACCCATTGGGAATATCTGTTACCAGCACTGTTGGTGATTGTTTCCCCCTCCCTTGCTGTCCCGGTAACCCGCCCTTACCCCAACCCCGGGGCTTTGCCTTTGTCTTTCCCGTTCTCCTCCCCATCCCGCCGGGGGAGGGGTGAGCGAGCGGCGCGTGGGGCTCAGCTGGGGCTGAACCACGTCACAACCTCAGCGCTCTAAATTTCTGTTCTCCGCTTTCCTGATGTAGAGGTGAATCAATTTGGTTCTTTCTTTTCCCAGACTGTCTGCAGCAAAACTCTTCTGTGCATCCTTCTTAAGGAGTGCCAGCTCTTTCCACCAAGTGCTATAATAAGTTTTACGTGTTATCAGTTCAGTCAAGCATGAAGTTAAACTTTATCTGGCTTTATCAGTACTTTTGAAGGCTTAACTTCTCTAAGGTACATCAGCTTTACAACAGGAGAGGGGGAGAGAGAGATCAGGTCATTTACCTTAAAAGTCAGTACTTGACAATGGTTACAAAGAAAGGGGTTAGAGATTGCTTTTTTTTTTTATTTAAGAGAATGTCATATCATCAACAAATGGGGATTTCCAGTGTTGATTTCATTAGTACATGTGCTGAGTTAAAAACCATTATGTATTTTGGCAGAAGATTCTGTTTCAGTATAGCTTCTAAAATAAAGAACTTGTAATCATAATTTAAAATTTGATTGAAATCAGGTTGTAGCTATTTACAATATTTATGTTTATATGAACCCCCCTACAAACAAACTTTTTCAAGTAAAAGCTAAATTTGTGACTTAGATGCATCAAGGTTTGTATGGTGGCAACTATAATGGTGGCATTAGTAAGACTAGGTTATGAGGTACAACTGTAACAATGCTGTGTTGTCGTAGAATTATGTGGCTGTTGTGACATGCTGCGAAGTGACAACTTCTCAAATATATGTCCAGAATCTTCCACTGTATACAGAGAAACATGCAGCAGAGTAATCCACTTTTAAGGTTCAATGGGTAAAGTCCTAATGGCTTCTAAGAATTTTCAGCATCATGACAGTTCACTAAAAATTAATTCTTGCCGTCTGACACGGGTTTGTCTGACATGAGTTTTTTGGCTTTCTATGCCTTCAGACATGTCTTATTCCTATTTTCCTTAATGAGATTCCTGAGTTTTTCCTAGTTTGTGTTGTTTTTCTAACTTTTTTTTATTATTTATATCATTCTAGTGCAGGGCACTCCTGATCTGCAACTGTTCTGGTCTTTGAAAATATTTTACAAAAATAATGTTAACACATAGTCATTTCCATCAGAAGAATTACTTAATTTGAATTTTTTACAGTTTTCAAAAACTAACAAATTAGTAGCTTCCAACTTAGAATTGTAACTGTGAATTAGTAACTCAAATGCAAGGAAGTGCTAAAATTATTAGATACTTTACTACAAGAGCATTTTCTAACTTTGTTGCACAGAAGTATTTGCAGATCAGCATTGCTGAATACTAGAGAGATTTTACATATTTTATTCATCGTATCCTCAGTTGCGCTTTTGTATTGCTGCAGTAAAATTCTGTGCATCAAACAAGTTACTTTCATGTAGCAAATGTGGTGTACTGTAGTTACTCCTTCAGTTTTTATGGATAAATGCAAACTGAGTGAATCTTTTTTTCCATGCGTGCTAATTATCAAAAGAATCTTAGTAACAGATGTTCAAAAGAGGAACAGTTTTATTTGTAGTCTTCAGTAGCATTTCTTACAAGCAAGAGCCAATGCAATGTTTCTGCCATGCATTGTCCTTTGTGTAAACACTTCAAAATGCCACGTTCAGTTGTTTCCAGGCAATGATTAAAAATCCCATCTTATTAATCTTATTAAATTTTTTAGTTTTTATGGGTAGAAAGTAGATGTTAGATAGTCTATTCAGAATAGTTTAACACTTCAGTGTGGTAGCTGTTCTGTGCTCATTTCGTCTAGTTAAGTACAAGAATCCTTCTTTCTGGTAACTATATTTAAGTGTAATTAGATTAATCTAAGAATTAATGAAATGCATGTAATTATGTAGTAATTCCTTAGATAGGTTCCCTTAGATGCTCTAAGTGTAAATGGCTACAAAAAGAACATTTACTGTATGTTTTGCAAAGGTACAGGGGTTTAAAATTTGAAGCCACAGTATGCATCTGACCTTAACATCAAAACACATGAAATTCCAGTGCAAGCAAAGCAATAGTGGCCCTTTTTGGAGGAAACTTTGGAACATGAGAAACACTTAACAGTGACCAAGGGGCTGGGGAGATGGAGCAGGTGATAAGGCCAGCTAGAATTACATATTTTTGAATCTCTAAAGCTGACTCTAGATCATTGAAAGTGTAGAATCACTGTTAAGAATAATGGAGCAAAGACATTTTTGTTTCAAGCTTCTCTGTAAGTACTATAGGAGAGATGCATATTTTGCTTTTTTTCTTGGTCTTGTGCATCTCTTAAATGTATTTAACTAAATTCAAAATCTTAATCAACTCCAGGGTATTCCTAAAACTCCACCATTTTAAAATAGAAATTTAAAACAAGATTATTCTTAGTAGTAAAATAAAGTATGTTTCAAGTTCTGCCATTTAAACTACTAAAATTTCAGTGTATAATTTTATTCTGAAAAAAACTTGTGTAGTCTCAATGGGACAGTACATTCACTTCATGGTTTAAGCTTTGCTACGTGGAGACAGCTTCCTCTGCTGCCAGCATTTTTGCTTCGTGATCTGTCCTCTGATTGCCCACGTACTGCCCTTGCCCCAAGAGATCAACACATTTGACAGTATCAGCTGATTGTAAGAGTGGGGAAGAAATAACGAGTATTTCCCAGTAATACACAAAGTTAAAACCAAGGAGAAAAAAAAAACACCCCAAAACCCTACAGCGAGTCCTTGTCAGACAGCTTGAAATTTTGATTTAGCTAACTCAAGGTCAATGAAACTATGGAAAATGTTCACCAGTTTGCTTTCAGACCAACTCTGCTGCATGTGTTCATAAGTTCCATAAAGACTGCATGCTTTCTGTTTAATACAAACTGTATATTTTTTTTCACACCCATCCTTGCTTTTTATATTTTATTTTTGTTTCCCTTGCCTTGGTTGGATGCCTGTGTGTGTTTAATCCAAATCCCTGTCCAGTCCTGGAGTTTGAACTACGGAAAGCCAAGGAGACCATACAGGCCCTCCGAGCCAACCTGACTCAGGCTGCAGGTGGTGTACATAAACCTTTTCTTAAGTCTCTACTTTGAACAATGTAGAAGTAGCTGAGCTTATCTTGTGTGAAAGAATAAAATTTAGTTACCTTTTTTTCCTCCCCAGAAAATGAAGTTCCTTTGCAGGAACGAAAAAATTATAAATCAAGTCCTGAAATTCAGGTAGGTGGCTGATCATAACTGAGCTTTGCATGGACTTTAAGACGGATGTGCTTCCGTATATGGAAGGAAGATGAAGCAAAGATGTAGTGTATTGTTTTCTTTTTTTTTTTTTTTCCCAGGAGCCAATCAGACCTCTTGAGAAAAGAGCTCTAAACTTCCTAGTTAATGAATTTTTATTGAAGAATAGTTACAAGCTTACGTCGATAACATTTTCAGATGAAAATCATGATCAGGTAAAGTTTACTTGTGGGTTTTTTACATGCCTACTTTCCATATTCTGATCTTGTCATAAACTCAAGTGAGCTTAACTGGTATTTCCTGTGCATGTAGGTCACTTCATACATACAAGTATTCTGAGAGTTAAATATGTTAGTTAGCATTTTCATATATGAACCACATGTTCGAAAGGACAGCACTTTGAGTAGTATTTTCCTAAAATTTGTAGGAAAGAGACAGAATGTTTGCATTCCTTTAAAAAGGAAGCAAAACAAGGAGAAAAATACTGAGAGTTACAGGTACTTATACCCTGTCCTGGATTCTGATGGACACCCTTCCAGTTAAACTCAAGAATGTGGATGTAATAAAATTTTGAATGTAATCTTTTCCTTAAATCATACTCAGTTGATTTGTGTACGATATACAATATACTTATTGTTTGTCATCTCCCCGGCATATATATATGTGTACAAGTATACTTAATCATGCTGTAGTGTTGAATGTGGTCTTGGAAAAGCTCTCAGTAATAAGATGTTGTCTTGAATATTTCCAAACATAGCTGTCCTTTGATGCGTTTTTAAGATGATTAGTTTTATGTCTCTATTGGCTTGCATTTCATGGGAAAAATTTCTTCAAATGTTTGGAAGGTTCTGATTACATTCTGACTGTTACTGGGTGAACAAAACACCCCATAACATCAACACCCAGTATATATTCAGCACAAAACTGGAATATTGCCAGAAGAATTAAATATTGAATTAAATATTAAATATTTAATTTCAACGAGTTCTATTTATAGCTGGTCCTCCTATATTTTTCCTACAATTCATATCCTAATGTGTAAAGAAAATGGGTTGTTAAATAAAATTTCTGGATTATCCACTTAAGATTTGAGTTTAACAGTGCTACATTTCATACAAATACTTGTCAGGATACAGCCCCAAAAAGAGAAAAGATGAATAATTCATCCTGACTTTTTACGTGTTCTCAACTGAAGATGTTTTATTTTGTGAGACAACTAGCAAAAAAAAAAAAAGGAGGGGGACAGTTCTTAATTCTAAAAAAGTAAATATAAACATACTACAATTAACATATAGAATGCAGATTTTTTTTCTAGATTATTCATGTTCTTTTTCTTTTAGAAAACAATCTTTCTTCAAATAGGTGTATGTAACCAGACTATGGAAAAGTACAGTGAAAACTGTGAACAGTAGGAAAAAGGTTAAAAAAAAAATAAAATTAATTTCATGTGATTAAAGAGACCATCATGACTCCTGTATAACAGTGCAGATGCTTATTTGTATACATGGACATGGAATAATCTTGTAATAATAGGATAGTAACATGTCAATGTGAAAAGAAGGGACATATATGGATGGTTTGAGGCAGGAGGCCCTAGTGTTGTTTAGACCTCTACATAATTAATACGGGTATGTCCAAATGTCACTGAGAATATGCACCCTATCAGTCATCTACAGAGGTATTTGACTGTTGGCTTCTGACCTGTGCTTGTGAATGAGATGGGAACAAAATTACACCCCTATCAGGAGAAAGTCTTCTATCAACTGCACTGGCTTCTGCTAGAATTTGATCGATGTCATATCTGATTCTAGAAAGTGTTCACGTCCTAGAAAAAAAGTAAACTGTGATCTATATGTTTTTGGAAGATCCTCTCTTTAGTGCATTACCTAGAGCTGCCTTTAGGGCAAAACTGCTTTGAGTCATGAAATGGATGCTTTTTTTACTTTTGTTTCTTGCTGTCTGATTGAAGTTTTCATCTTCTTTCCTACGATAAAATCTTGATGTGATTATTTTGCTGTTGTATGACCTGCAGTCAAATGAGGAAGAGAAAGGAAAATAAAAGGCAGTATATTGTATGCTTTAGTTTCTCTTATTCCTTTGAAGGATTTTGAACTTTGGGATGATGTAGGCTTGAACATTCCAAAACCTCCTGACCTGTTACAACTCTATCGTGACTTTGGAAATCATCATGTTACTGCGAGAGATGTGGTGGACGTATCAGTTGGTGTAGAAGATGATGAGCTAGAGGCTGCTACTCCTATACTTGGGAGTGTCCCTGTATTTGAAACAACACCACAGTCAATAGAAGTAAGAGTTTGTACAAAATAAATGTTTCAGCTGTTTGCAGTACTGCTTAACTTTATTGTACTAAACTCTTTTGTTTCTATCTTGTATTTAGCAATGCTTAATAGTGCAAAAATTAGAAGATCAAATTAGTGTGTTAAACAGTGAGAAATGGTCTTTGATGGAACAAATCCAAAGACTTGAGAGGTATGTACTTACCAATCTGCTCCACTACTGATAAATGTTGGAATAACTTCTCAGTGTTTTTCTAGCTCAGATATATGAAAAGGTCCAACTTAACACTTTTAAAATTACTAGGAGTTCTCCAGAGCAGGGCAGTCTTTCCTTTTTAATACGTGGTATTTGATTTAGAAAAAGGAAGAGACTTCAAAGAGACTATTTCCCTTTTATTACCTACATCATTTAATTTTGTAATGGATTTTGTTCTTTCAGTGCAACTTCTTTATTTACTTTGAAAACAGGGTAATTTCTAATGTGTTTTGTATAGGTTTTCTCTTGCAAACACTCTTAGAAAGATTCAACACAGTTTTTCTTTCTACAGAGCAAGACTAGTAGAAATGACAGTATCTTTAACAACAACAAAAAAAGACACTTTAAAAGCTTAGTCAAAACATATGATACTGTAAGCTATAAGACAACATTCCTTTTAAGAGATACACCAATACAGCATATGGGCAAATGCATAATTTTTAAGTGGCTTTATTGACTTGCATAGTGACTATTTCAAAGCCAAGTGGGATAGTATGTATTAATTCACCACTACAGAATTTTAAGTTTTGCATCCCAGATAGACTTCTGTCTTGTGACAGTTTGTGTCTCAGAGCTTAGATTTCAGCCAGAAGCAGATAACACTATTGTTGTTCACTTATTTCATTGATTCACTCAGAGTGCAACATTTTTTCTACTACTACTGACTAAAGAACTCCATTAAACCAGTGCTCATTTGAACAGCTTGTGTGATATGTTATTTCTATTAAAGGAATTTTTTGACATACTGGAGTTGAAGGAGGGAGCTCATCAGTATGTTGTCCTTATTTCTGTGCTTCAGTCTTGTGATTCCAACAACCCCATGAAAGCTACAAAAATATTTCATTCTTTGCTTTTCCTTTTTTAGTGAAATAGATTTTCTCAAGAATGAACACTTTGCTGTGTCAACAGTTTATGGTGTAGCTCCCCATCCTTCTTTAAAACAAGTGCCTCTCACAGTCTCAGAGGACAATGGACGGTACTTGGATATCAAGAGCTCTGAGAATGACAATAAACATGGAAACACTGAGGAAACAAGCCTTTCTTTATCAACTGAAGAGGATTCAAGGACTTCTAAAGATGATACGCTAAATTCTGTGCCCTGTAAGGAAACAGAGAAACTGTCCTCTTGTGCTCCGTCAACTAAAGCTGCAGTCCACTTCAATAAACCTAATAGGTTAGTGATAAGTTTTAAAGAGGAATGCTTTAATTAAATATTCTTGTAAAGTAGACAGATATTTTTCTAACAGTAAAATTCTGCAGAATTCATACATAATTTGTGTTTTGAATGCAAATAAAAGACTTATCAGCACTGTACTCTAAAGGTATGTTATTTTCATATTGTTCCTAATCTTTTTAGGAAGGAGTACATTTGACAAACCTACATTTTTAGTATTAAGTTTAAAGGTTTCTTTTCACCTCCTACTTGTTTCTAAACCCGGTCATGTTCCTTGCAACAACAACAACGAAAGCTAAAACCAAAACAATGAATGGGAAGATAGGATATTTCTATTCTCTTTAAAATTTTAATTTCATAATAAAATCTTGTCTGTTCTGCTTGAAGAGTGGTTGGGAAATTTTTTACTTTTCCTATGTAGATGTGTATAACTCAGAGTATCTGTATACTTTTTTTAATTTTTTTTTTTTTTAAGTAATCAGAAAGGGTATCAGATGACATTCTGATTTTTGAGTTTGGAATTTGGGGCAAGTCTTCCCTGGGTAACTATAATTCTTTTAATTAAAATAGGATATTGATATTGTATCATTACATGGAGACTGAGTTTGTGTGTCTGAGTGTTCTCGAGAAAGCCTCTCCAATCTAGAGTCTTTCTAATATTATAGTGAAGAGGGGAAGTAACATGTTCATTAAGTAATAGATAAACAACTGTGTAGCCATCAGGAGTAACACGGACCACAATGAGGGTATGTACAACTTCTAAAATTACCACTGTGGACAAAGATGCCCAAGTAGCTCACCTTTATGGTCTTACCATTGCTATTCCTAGGGTAGCAGGTAGCCATTTGGCTTTGTATTTTGTCAGTTCCCTTAGCATTCTTTTGCTGGCGTTGATACAGTAATATGTTTCTAGAATTATCTTCCATCTGAAAATACCAAGTAGAAATCTATGTGTGATGTTCTGTGCAGATGGGAAATCAACACAAGCTGCATGGGGCAGAAGAAGAAGAAAAAGAGCTGCTACTCCTGCTAGTAATTAACTTTTCTTGCAAACCCTAGGTATCCTGTTTTCTCTGGATTTCCTGAACTTCTTGCACTGAGTTCTAGGGGCAGGCGTACTTTTTCAGTGGTATCTTAACTTTAGAATTGAACAGGAGGAAAGACTGCTGATTTCTGCATACAGTACCTTAGAGTCTTACTACAAATCTCTTCTAGTTGAATATACTACTGTTTAACAGGAAAGTAAAACTTGGCTTAGATTTTTCTGGAGAATTTGCAGTAGTTCCATTTAAGTTTTCCAGATTTATTTATTTATTTCTTTCATATCCTAGCTGAATATTTAGACTGTGTAATAATCAAAACTTACAGCTGTCATACACTGATTGCTATAAACTTGTCTACCTACTTTTGTCTGTAACTTGTTGCAAGTTTCTTTTTGCTCAGAGTAATTGGGAGTGCTGGGAGACATTAAGCGCATGAATATTAGATTGATGATTTGGGGATAGTGAGGATGGGTGTCAAAATAGGGTGAGATCACTGGGTGAGGAAGGAACTATGAGTATCTCCGGTGGGACTTACAACAGTAGTCTCTAGAAAAACAGAATTTGTTTTGCTTCTCACAGCTCTTAAATATAACCGCATGTGGATTTATTTGAAAAGTAGTTGTATAAAACCTTGAATCTCCATTGAGGTAACTTCAGAAGTCCCCTGAAATGCAGTTCACTGCAGAAATAAGTAATGCATGTGTAGTACGTAGCTGTTTTTGTGCTGAGTTTTGGCCTTAACGTGTCAGTGAAGGATCAAAGGAAACCATATTTGATAGTGTTTTATAGCTCCGTATCACTGTATTTTCTTCCTGGATTATGCACTTGATATGTAATAATACAGCAGGTTTTTTCATTAAGAATTATATTATTTGTTAAGTATTTTGAGATCTGTGAGAGAACAAGCATGATAGAAGTGCTGGATATTTATTTATTTTAGTCGGGGGTGGTTATATGTAGAAGAGAATTACTACAGTTTATTCCAAACATGTTAAGAGATATTAAAGCCTAGGACTCTATCCTAAAAGGCAAGATGGTCACTACTGTAGCTAGGGAGCAGATTCTTGGCATAAATCTTGCCCAGATGGGAAAAGAGGATGAAAGAGCAAGTGAGCTTGCTTTGTGTGACTGCCCTCAAAGCAGCCATGCATGCCTGCAAGTGAGGACACCACCATCACTGGAAAAATGCCTCGTCTGACAGATTGCAGTAGAAAACACTAGCAGCAGTTTAAATAGACTGCACCACCTGTATTTATTCAATTCATCTTAGGGGTTTGGTAGTTTGCACCAAATACAAGGTGTTTTCTCTATATAGCAGTCACTCCTGACTTTTTCAGTACATGAACTCTTGTCCCAGTGTTACATGGAATAGAAAAGTAGTGCTTGGATTTTGTATTCATCATACTTTCTCATATCCGAACGTCTTGGCTACTGGCATCTGTTGGCCCTTAAAAAGACTTTCCACTGACTTGTGTGCAAGAGGCCTGGCTCTGTCATTGTTTCTGTCCAGCATAGCCATCAAGGATTTTACTAGACTTCATCAAGGAGAAGCTTTCTTGACTCTAAATATAGGCAGCAATCGTAATGGACCCAGGCTGCCCAGAGCTTGCTGTTAATTACCCACAAAGAAATTCAGGTTCATACTGTCATACTTCGTTTTCAGTCTCTGCCAAATGAGAATAGAATTTTGCCCTTATGTAGGATTTTAATTAAGGTTTCAAGTAGAGGAGGAGCTGACGTTCTGCAGAACGACCACTGAGGTAAAGGACAGCCTGGGCAAAGGGCTGGCTGGGGCTTTGCAACTCTCTTAATGTACGAGCCAGTAGATCTGTCATTCAATAATACTTCTATAGAATAAGGACTACCGTACTGTTAAACAGAGGTTCTTTACAACTCACTACCATCTGAGTCGTTTCCTAACTTTTTTAAAGTGAACCCTTGCACAAAACCCAAGTTGATTGGAATTAAGCCAAACTTGCTTCATTAAAATTTAAAATGTGTTTTAAAAACGCATATTGTCAAGAAAGAAATTTAAATTTAAGTAATAAACATAAATCCTTATTTATCATATTTTGTAAATAGTCAGAAGAGGAAAACTATTCTGGTATGTTTATCTGTATCCTCCTGGATAGTTTAAACTAGTAGGAACTTAAATTCTTAATGTGCTTTTTTTTGTTAGAAAAGGGCAAATGATGATATATTTACTATAAATAGTGTGATATTTCAGTTAATTAAAAATATATATGTCCATATACATAATTGCATGCATGTAGGATTTTGCACGCTCAGGTGCATAAAATAGTAATTTTAAGAATTGAAAGGTGATACCACTTTCCACATGAAAAATAGGAATTGCCTTCTCCCTTAAACTCATACAGTGTCATTAGAGGATTCACACAGCAGCCGATAACACAGAGTGAGATGCTTTCTGTGCCTGTTCTGGAAGGCAAACGTTCTTTTTCCTCTTTAAGCATAGTGGACGAGGCAGTGTTAGATTAGCATCTAAATACAGGGCTCAGATAAGGCAGAGGGAGTTGTCATTACTGGAAAATAGGATGCTGCTCCTGCTACTTGCCTGTTTTATGTGATGGTCAGTCCAGTAATTGTTTTCTGGAGAACATTTCTGCCAAATTATCCTCTTTGGACAAAGTTGTTTTGAGACTCTTACTGGGGTTTTAAGTGTATGCTTAAGGCTTTGAGTAGCTTGACTATGCTGTGCATGGCCATGAGGCAGTACTTCTATAGATACATGTCTACGTCAGGGATTAGGCAGCAATTTAAGGTTAGTTTTGAGATTCTCGCTATACATTTGAATCCAACATTTAGATCTCAAAGTGGCAGTTCAGCAGTCTCTATTTAATCCTGAAGCTTGTGACTGCTCAAATGTTTTTATGCAATGTGCTGAATAAGAGCATTAAGGAAAAATACTGTTTCTTGTGATTTCTGTCCCTCACCCCGCAGTTTGCATAATTGTATGCTTCCTCTTGTATTGCTGAGGCTTCCTATTCTTCACACTTTAGGCGTATTTTTGTCTGTGCAGCAGTTTGAAAGATGTTACATTTTTCGGAACTAAAAGTCACTTCTTAATTAGGACACCCACTTCTTTATCTTGCTACAAACTAAACACCCTACAAGTCAAAGATAATTTTAAACAAAAACTTCTGCAGTATGCTTCACTTAAGACATGCTTTCTGAATGTTACTTTACTTAGCTGGTTAAACCAGAGTGAAAGGACTTGTTCAGTCACCTTTCTGATCTATGCTTTTTTTTCCTCTCCCTCCCTTTTTGATGATATTTCAGGAAATTGTCACCAGCTTTCCATCAAGCACTACTGTCTTTCTGTCGGATGTCAGCAGACAGCCGTTTGGGATCAGAGGTATATTTCCCAGTTGACATAAACTAGAAGATCCTTTATTCTGCATGGTAGCAATAGTTAAACAAGCAGTAATTGCTTTGTAACAAGACTTATTAAGATATATGGAGACATAATTTTATGTGCATGAAACTTAATAAGGATATGCTTTCAGATGTTTAGCTTAAATATGAAACCTAGTGATAGATATGTAATTACTGGGAAGTTTTGAGTTTCTATAAGTGGGTTCATGCTTTTGAAGTTGCTGCCAGATCAAAAGCTTTACAGCTTAATGTGTGTGAGTAAATTAAATATTTTCTGGTAAGTGATCAGCCTGCTGCAATTCTTATTATTCCTTTGAAAGGATATTTTCCTGTTCCTGCGCTTCCTTTAAAAAAATCCAAACAAACGACATTGTTTTCTAGGTATCTCGGATTGCAGACAGTGAAAAAAGTGTCATGTTAATGTTGGGACGCTGCCTGCCTCACATTGTTCCTAATGTGCTGCTTGCAAAACGAGAGGTGAGAAACCCTGAAATTTTAATTTTCATTTTTACCATGATGTTTTCTTGTTCATTTTGAAGATGATGTGTCTAATTTCATGAAAGCCTGTTACTTGCAATCATGTTCTTACTTTTGTGCATGCATCTCTGCTCCTAGAAAATGGTTTTACACCTCTGTCAGGTGAGTTCAGCAAACCTGCATGGTATCCTAACATTTCTTCCTTTGCTTAAGGCACTCATTAGCATTCAGCAAGACTAACTGTTACTGTAGGTCCATCTGTTTGTGGTAGCACAAATGGTTTTGTTAGAGAAGACCATGGTTAATGTGTGTTACAAAGAGCAGAGGATGTAAGTTCAAACCATAAATTTGGTTTATTTTATCTATCAGTTTTTATAAGATTAATATTCAGATTCTTTTTCAGCACTGTGTACTTCAACAAAAAATTTATTTTACCATCTTTTTCTAGAAGCTCCATGTATCAGCCAAGATAAGGTTCATCAAAAACACCCTTTTGTAAGAAAACTAGCAATCTTGCTTATATGTTTTCCTTAAACTTAAAATGAAGCTAAATAAAATTATGGAAATGTAATGTTTATTTTTAATGTAAATGAAGATGGTGTTTTGCATAATCATTCATACTATATAGTGTAAAAAAGGAAGACTCTGAAGATGGAAAATAAATGACTGGTTTTATATTGCTTTGTTGTAAATATTGCACATTACCAAATGTGTTAAAAAAAAATAAATATATATATTAAAAAAAAATTCAATGGCCTTATAGTTGACACTGAAATAAAGGGTTTGAAGTAGCATAGCTTGAGTAAATTTTAGCCGTTGTTGAGGGGACCTACAGTATGGTAGACTTAATAGTGCATTTTGCATAAATTCATTTTAAGGCTTTAAAAAATCCTCAAGAAATTTGTACTGATCCTATAATCTAAAACTTTATAACGTGTGAGTAATTATCAGCACCTGACATGGTGAGTTTGAGATGTACCATGGTTTCAAAGTCTCAAACTTCATGAAAGTTGTTGGTTTGGTTTTTGGGTTTGGGTTTTGTTTTTTTTTCCTGAGGGAATGGGGGTGTTAACTGGGTGCTCTGGAAATGGTTCTGTTAATAGTGTTTCAGAGTAATTCTGTGAATGTTCCTGGATCAGTGCTTAATTTCTGATTTCTTATTTATTCCTTTCCTTTCCTCTGCTTGGCAGGATGTGGTATTTTGGCTTCTTTTCACAGCTTGTAGCATAGTCTGTGTAATGCATTTAATATTTTTGTGAGCTTTTAGGCTATTTCCTACTTGTTTTGTTTTACAGTTGAAGTTACATTTGATTACACGTATTTTTGCCTTAAACAAATCATCTGTTTCAATTTGATTGAAAAAGCCGCAAGTGAGAATTGTGTAACTGGATTGCATGGGATGCTTAATGTTCCAAGAATTGAAATTTGCTTTAAAAATAGCTTTTCTCAGTTACCACCCATTGCTATAACTATTGTAATATTCTTTCAGACGTAGTCATGGAATTGGAAGGAAAACTTAGGTAGACCATCTGTTAGTACGTAATATCAGTATTAGGAAAAGCTAACCTAAGAACTAGGCTCCCTTCAACAAGGTACAGCTTTGGGTCTTGTCCAAAAGCAACGTTATCATGAGAGAGTCTTAGCACAATTTTACAGGGAAGTGGTGTAAAAATACACTGGAAGATCACTAAATTAGGAAAGATATGTAACAGGTTTGGATTATAATGCAAAGTCTGCTCTGAGAAGATACAGTGGTAGTATTTAAGATCTTACACTGTCAGTCTGTTAGACATGAGAATTAAACATAATTTTCTCATGACTCCCTAAAGTACCTGTCTTTGTTCTTTAAGCATCCATCATGTTGCAATTAGTTGCAAAATCTTAAGCTGAAAATACTGTGCTATACATTTTCATTTTGGAGAAACTGGGTTTGTGGAGGTTGATGATCTCTCAGTAGGTATTGTCCTTTACCAGAGATTCAGAAGCCATTTCACCAATGCTTTTAACCCTCTTAAGGTCAGTAGCAGCCTGCCTGCTTTGGTAATAAGAGGTCCAGTAAATATTACAGTTGACATCTAAGTGACCGGTTAGTGTCAGAATGTTTGATGCATTTCTGAAATTTTTTATGTTATTTTTGTGTATTCATGCAGCTTTAATTGTTCTTCAATGTCTATAGTTTAGGTTCTGATGGAAGAAAGAAGGAAAAATACAGTATTGAGTAGGGTGGCCGAGGAGATCATTTTAGTTGTTTCTAAAAGAGCAGTTCAACTGGGTAAAATCAATAATGCATAATATATAATAATTCCTGAAAGCAACTCGTGGTCATTAAAATTCCATGTATCAACATTTAATTTTGTTTTTATCCCAAGTGTCTAGTTTATCCTAACTCCTTGAAAACATGTATGTCAGTGTTTAGATTTGTATGTGAATGCACTCACAAACAAAGGACGTACTGCAAGCCAAATAGTAATTGGAATGAACAGTAACAAAATGCTAAAAACCTATTCTTCAAAAAAACCCCAACCCTCTGGCTGGGTATGCAGTCTGTGATAACGCTTCTTGCAGATGAGCAGCTTGAGTTCATAAAATTTCATCTGCTTTGGAATCTGCTTCCTCAATTGTGTTTTTACCGCTTAAAACTAAAACACATTTAAGATTTAAAAAAAAAAAAAAAAGGATCAGTCACCTTCTATTTGTCAAGAGGTATACCATAAAAAGATTCATTTGATGAAACTGTAATTATTGAAATGGAATCTTTTAAATTTTTTTGTCATAACTAATAAGTCCAATATTGATTTCTTACCTTTTATAAGATGTAAAAATAAGTATCTTTTTGTGAGGTAACAGAAGTTGTACAAACAAACAAGGTTACTCCCATGCTCTGCAGTATGTAGTCCTTTAGCAGAGTTTGAGCCAGAGTAAAGTTTTTGGCCTAATGTCAGGACCTTGTTATTCTTGTTCTTAATCAAGAAATACTTCTCCTTATTTATACCTTTCATCTCACCTGTTATGCCAGGGTTAGTTTCTGTAACTTTCATTCATGTTATGTAAATTTAGAAAAATTGTGATAGTAATGGTTTACTAAATGTTTGTACCAAGAAACTGTTATTTATAGAGAGTTCAAGATGTTAAGAATAGTTTCGCTTTTATTTCTTTGTAATGCTGAAGCAAAGATAATGCTGAATCTGCAAACTCTGGATGCCATTCTCAACTCTGCTAGAAGAAAGCAATGCTGCAGACTTAAAGTTGTTCATGTTAACATGCAGTAACTGCACATGGGCATCACCAAGACACTTTTTTTTTTCTGGCATTTTTTGTAGGTAGCTGTCTCTTAAAACACACTAGAACTGAATATCTTATTACAGATTTTCATCTCAGTCCTACGTTTTAAAAGCCAAAACATATGGCTTTGTTGAGAAAAAAAAAAAGTAGTAAAAGAATGTGGTGTTAGAGCTGGGCAGATCTAAGTGGCTGTTTTCAGTGGCTGTCAAGCAGATGCCATTCTGGTTGGATACGGATAAAGTTTGAGTTCCTGGGCCTGACAATTGTGAGCCAACAGTATCTTCTAAATGACTGTGTCTAGTTCACAGAGTAGGATAGAATAGAAAAATTTAAATGAACAAGTAAAATACTTTCTGTTACTCTGTAAAATGTAGTTTGTGATAGGCTTCTATAGATTGTGTTTCTGAAAAACAGGGATAGTGTTGACCTCAGCCTGTTTGCTGGTTCTCTTCTGGTTTACGTGGGGTGTTGGTTTTGGTTTGGAGGGCTTTTTTGTTTGGGGGTGGGGTTGCCCCCACACACACGAGAGAGACATAACCATTTTTTAATTTAAATCCTTTACTTCCCTTCTCTGGATATGACGGGCTAGTGTAGTTTTCCTAGAATGAAACAGCTCAATCTCAGAGTATCCTTTTCCTCTCTAGTCTGAAAGCTGGTGTCTTTCAACACCATGTCTTTAAACATAACATAATTCATGGATGCAAGGAGTTGAATTTAATCTTTATGAATTGAATTGCCAACTGTTACTAGTATTGTCACAGTAGTTTTATGTGCAGGTTTCCAAATATATAGTAAATATAAACAAAGAAGTGCAAAGGGGTTTTTTCACACCCATATCTGCATCGATTCTTATGTAAAAGCATCCCTTTGGGATCTACAAGAGGATTAATTTGGATCCTGGAATAATAGTCTCATCCCATGAAATGTAATTAGGGTTGTAATTCTAATATTAATAAGATGAGTAGCACAAAGTTCTGAGTCATGTATTAATCATATGATTAAATATTTTTCCTTTTAAAACTAAAAGAATGAATTCTGAACTTCCCATACAAACTTGTGCAAGAGTATCAGTAGTTTGTTAGTACTTGCACATATTTCAGTTGCTGCAGATAAGATTATTTACTGTTTGTCAGAGGCTAAGTTACAGAAGAATTTTAACATAACATTGGTTCACAATATAAGCATTGACTATTAGAGCAGATTAGAAGGGACACATTTACAAAATTGATCATAATGCCATCCTGGTTTATATATTATATTGTCACCTGATTGCCACATTATTACATTAATATTTGAAATAATAAAAAGATGACTATCCTAACCTATTGAAGTAACCAGTCTTGACACTTAACACTAAATTTATTCTTTGAGATAATTATTTTGCTTGTGAACACTCCAAAAGACACTAATTAGAGAGAGAAACTAAGATTAAGATGACTTTTGTCAGAATGTTAAACAAAAGCAATTATAATGAAGGCAACAACAGATAGAAAATTCCTCACTACCTGGTAAGAAAATTGTCAGCAAAATAGAAAAATGCTTGCTATAAGATGCATTTTAAAAAAACCCAAACTTTAATATTTTGTTGTAATACTTTTAATATGTAGGAGGAACTGTTTTCCATATAGTTGAGGTGATAACCAGTTACTATTAAAAAGCCACCTTCTTTTGACTATAATGAAGAGCTGCTCCATATACCCATGTAAATGTTGCCTTTATTGAGATCTTGAATCAGCTTAAATAGTGAATTCTGTTCAAAGATAACAGAACATGTTGTTCTAAGGGAGAAGTTGTCTAAATGTACGATGGTTAAAAAAAAAGTGAATTTTTCCTTGGGGACACCTACACGGACAGGCAGAAGTAGAACAGAGAGAAGACGGGCCATTTCAGTTCTCCTGTGCATGCATTAGGTCAGCTTCGTAGCCTTGTCCATTGTTCACCTGCTTGTAGTTTATCTCACAGTAAAATAACTTTTTTTTCTCGCTGTTCTCCATCCAAGTAACTCACAGATATAAACTGCCTCAGATACAAACTTGCCTTTTCAGTACTGGAGGCAAGACCTCTGACACATGATGTTTTATTTCATCAGGTTGCAAGTGCTGACAATGTTAAAATGGCAGCCTGCTTGGCATCTAGTGGGAAAACAGAATTGCAGTTCTGAAAGTCACTCCTGCTGGTATTGTTGACTCACACCAACACGAACTAATCAGTTTTCCTACGTCAGAGGGAAAAGAGGGACTTAGGGATGAACAGGACATTTAGGAAGGATCCCGAATTAACTAAGGGGAGGGTTGTTGGTTTTTTAAAACTTGTTCTTGCTTTATGAATGTTAACACAAGTGGTATTCCTTCCCAAGGAAGGCAAGGTGTTTCAAAGAGCACTGGAAGTCCTCTCCTTGATTATTAATAATTATAGTCTCTCCCTAACAATGTTATGAACTTTCCTCTTGAATTTAAACAGCCAAATGCTAATATTGTGTCTTATTGGAAAATTACCACTTTCTACAGCACTTCTCTGCTGTTTTTTGAGAATGAAAAATCTGAGATTTATTAAACAAGTCTACATCTAAGGCATGGCCCTTAGCAACAGGAAGAATGAACTCGAACCTGCCTCTAGGTTGGTTTTTTGTTCTTATCCTGAATATCCTGAGAAGAATCTGTCCCCTTTTAAGTCTTTGGGAGACTTCACTTTACCTGTTTTGTCTGTCTGAGAGCAGTTTTGTTCTTGTCCCACAGAAAGTCCCTTTCGCCTCCAGTTTTACCTTCCTGTCCATTAAGCCTCTAGGGAGCACATAAAACACTGTTCAAGACTTCTCACTGTTTCTCCACTCCCCTTAATAGAAGGAACTGTAGAAGCACTGATGCAGCGATGCAGAGAACACTCTCTTCTCCCATAGTATGCATGAAAGAATGTGACCAATGGACAAGAAAATACAGCTAATTCCGTCAGCTATAATAACCAGCTTTCTGCAAGGTAAAGAACCAGCCTTGTATCTGCCCCCATGTCAATGGTGTTAGGTTACTCGTTAGCCTTTCACACACAAGTTAGTAGTATCTAGGTGAATATTCAGAGGTGTTTTCGTTTCATACAGACTCACCTGGAAAAAGAGTTTAACTTCCTTAAATTTGAAAAGAAGCTTTTTTTTTTTTTTTAAAAAAAAAAAAAGACTCATGGCACTGTTCTGAAATTCAGTGGTGGTTCTGAGTGAGCAGTTGAGATTTTTGAGTAGGTACTCAAACATACTAGGAAAGTGAAGTCAGCGTGGTGGTTTCAAAAGATGAAACGAAACCCCCAGATCATAAAAAATATACATGACCAATTTAATGGGGTATATTCTTTTAAAAAAAAATAAATTTATAAGCAGGACTTAAGAATAATTGCAAGAGCAGTTTTATAATGTGCAGTTAGGTTAGATTTCAAAAAGTTGGATCTCAGTAAAGTAACACAGGATTTTTTTGATTTAAATGTTTTTCCATGAGCTATATTCTTTATGGTGGAGTTAGTAATTATGTGTTGTATCTACAAATTGCAATCTGATTTCCTCTTTAAAAGATTTTAACTTAATGGTATTTGAAGTGGCAGGGGTTTTTATTTTTATAATTTTTTTTCTTCAAATCTTTTTGAGTTAAAGCTGTGTTTGCAGGAGAGAAGATGCTTCTGAAGTACAAAAAAAAAGTGAAATAGGTTAAGCTCCTTGCTTCCTCAGAACTTTAAATGGGCAAAACCTGAATGTTAAGTATACAAAAAATAAAGTCTAACATGCAAATTCTGGAAGGAGAGGAGCTTTAAGCTGATGAAAGTTATTTAGCTCTTTGCACAATGTAATTTGTAAAGTTTCTTTAATACAGGTTTTCAATTCACATTATTTTGCATTGTGCTACACTTATTTAAAAACAAACCCGAAACCTGGCTTACTTTAAAATATTGTGAAATAGAAATGTCCAAATTGTTCAAATATATTTCTCATTTCTCCCGCTGTACTTTCAGACTTTTTTTTTCAGTGGTGGTTAGACTATTTCCACATTCATTCCTTTTCTTCATCATGAATTCCCTAATCTGAACCATAATTGGGTTAAATATTGCCAAAATAACTTCCAGAATGTTAAAATACACTTTAGGATTTGTCTCGGTTACCTTTGGGGGGGAAAAAGAGCACGCTGAGTAGAATTCTTGTAATATGAAAACAAAAGCTTATCAGGAGTTGCCTAGTTTAGGCAATGCTCTAAAATAAAAGTATTGTTCTATGCTTACAATAAACATAGCACTTGCTTTTTAGGAAAATAGAAGTTGAGCATCGAGGGCGTCTTTAATGTTGTTTCCACCTGTCCACCTCTTTTAGTAGGCTTATTCTCAAGAACATCATTAATAGGTCACTTTGAATGTCTGCCAGGAGGAACTGGCAGCTTCCTGCAACGTTATTACAAATATCTATACATTGTTCCATGTTTTGTATAATCTTTCTTAGTAACTTCAGAAGTGTTACCCACTGTCATCTGCTTGTTTGTCACAGCTTATTAATTCACAAAAAGCTTGTCTGCTGAAAGTGGCTCAAAAGTACATGGCAGGTGGGAGGGGAAGTCTCTAGGTTACTTGCTCATGTTTTCTGTGCAGACACCTAGATTTGTTTTGTTCTTTTCCCTCCACCTCACAGTGTGATGTTTCCGTCCCTAAGATATTAAATCACCTAGAAATTTGTGTGGCTTCCAAATTCGCTTGGAGTAAAGGCTCATGTCAACAAAGTCAAGGAAAGGGATTTCCAGTCCATGTTTTAGAAACATTTGTTTCTTCTGGGAATGAATACCATGAGCTTCGAAGGCATATTTAGAAAGGAGATGGTCTTCACTATTGTCAATAGCCTCATATTTTCTTTCAGTTAATGTTTTACACAGTATTTTCTTGGTAGTTTGTTCCTTAAAGGAATTGAATTGCTTTAAAAAGAAAATTCAGCTTCAGATATTGCTGCTTTATTGAAATAAACAAACAAAACAACCCCAACAAACCTTTGGAAAAAAAAAATCATACGGTTCTCAGTCAACACAAAATAGAGGATATCTGTCTGCAGTCACCTTTACCAATGTATGTTTCTCAGTGCTTATTCATACTTGAGCACAAAACTGTGTGCATGCTTAATTGGAAATTTTAATCTTTAACTCCATGGCATCAGAAATAGCTTCTTCCGTAGGAGCTTTGTTCCATAGGTGTCTATGGAGCTCGCTTCAGTTCAGTAGGTATGAAGGCAATTTAAACCATGATTATCCTCTAATTCTGGTTACAGATGACCTGTATATGTTAATTGTAATCTTTGCAGAGCTTTTTATTTCATGTGCTGGTTCTCCCCTGATCTTTCCTAGCAGGAAACTAATTCTAACTTTTGTAGACCTTCACTTTTTTCAGGTCACTTAAAAAAAGAGATCAAGACTCTAAAACATCTTCTCTAACTGTTTTGGTGTTGTGTGGCTAGATTTATCTTCTTAGTTTCTTTTGCCATTAATGAATATATCCCCAAAGCGTTTTTACTTTGTTTGGTTTTCCCCTACCCACAATTTTTAGGAATTGATCCCACTCATACTGTGTACAGCCTGCCTCCATCCTGAACCCAAAGAGAGAGATCAGCTTCTACACATACTGTTCAATTTGATCAAACGACCAGATGATGAGCAAAGGTGTGTTTGCGTTTGTCTGTTGCGGGACAAGAAGGAACTTTTTTCTTTGTCAAAGAAGCAGAACTAATAGTGGATATTATGGGATTATTTTAACCAAGTTTCACTTAAGTTGGTATTTTGCTGATATAGTGTTGACAAATTTACATGGACTCAGGACTTTCCATGTCTCTAAGTTAACTACCATGTTAAGTTGGGGAAAATAGCATGAGGAAAATAGTATTCTTCCTACTTATAATTGAGTACTGTGGTAGCAATAAAAATTCTGAAGCAGTGATTTAGTTCTGACAAGTGTCAAGAGCTTTGTTTTATTTTGGTTAAGACTTTGAAACAAAGGATACTTTTTATTTTGTTTTATAAATTTAGTTCTCCCTTAGTACTCAGGAAATCTGACTTTGTACTGATCTAGATAAGAATATCCTTAAGGTTGAAAGACAGTACCCTAGCTGGTATGTTTCCTTCTGTAACTGTGGAAAAATTTTTCATATTTGACCTGTAGCTCTTCCGTTATTTTCGTTAGAGATGTTTTGTAAAGCATCTGTATCTATTGTTGCTCTATTCTGTCTCCAGACAAAATAGGCTTTATGAAATAGGTGGAAAACATTTCTTTTCAAGATTCTCTAAAACTGAAGTTTTCTGGTCTTTCTAAATTGTTCACATGGGAAAATTTAGAGATCAGGTATAATTGAAAGAGAGGGCTTTGGAGACAAAAAAATGCATAAATAAATAAAAGAACGTGCAGATTGAAAACAGAAAAAGATGCAGTCCTTGTTCTACTTCAGATTCATTAGAAATCTACTTCTGAACCATCTACTATTATCTAAATTGTTTTGAATGTCCCGTGCAGATTCAGAAGCTATAATTATTTTGTGGTTGAAGAGGGAAGGAAGTTACATCTTGCTTGTAGTGTCTTGTAGTTAATTTGTCACAGGATTGGTGGCCTGTCAAGTACGCTTTTCACATGGCTGTTTAGCTGCAGTTAGATGTGTCTTTTCCAGCAGGTAAGAAAGAAGAAAATCCAAGCTTCTTTTTCCTTCAAGTTGTTCATTCTTTGTTGTGAGTTAGAGATTTATATCTAAAAATAACTCATTTTCATCAGAAATTTGGGAAGAATATTGTGCCGTAACCTCCAGGACAAAACACGTACATACATAATACACATTTACATATGTAAAAATCATAATCAGTTTCAAAGGTGCCATAAAGCCTGACTGAAGAATAGGTCAAATTCCATCAAATAAAAGATATCCTGAATACAAATTAGATAGAAGATACTTATTCAGAAAATACTTATTCAGAATTTCAGTTGGTTTTTTTATACTTACATATTTGTATGCAAGTGTATTATGCATGCTTGTTTTTTATCTAAATAAGTTTAAATAGTATCAGTCTTGTGTGATATGAAGTAAGCAAAGACATTCAGCTTTAGTCAGCAGAACGATGGTATTAATTATCTCATGTTATTTCTTTACCTTCTGCTATACTGTACAGGCCTACGTTATATGTTAAAGTAGCAGTTGATAGCAAGTTGACTTTTTTAATTGGTTAATTGCAAGAGATTGAAATGTGACATTGCATTTCTAATAATGAATCCATTAAAATAAGTATTTTATTTTAAATATTTGACCTTGTAAAGTATGTTAACAATTTTGTGGAAAGTCTGTATTATAATTCTTGCCCATGTGAGAGGCTTTTTGATGCATGCAGATATGGCATATTGCCATAGTCTTGTATACTAACATTATATTTAAAAGGCCACTTTTATCCTCAAGGCTTTGCTCATTAATGTACTACTCAACTTTTCAAAATGTCTATCAAATTCTCTTCTGCAAAGGAACAAATATGTGTTAGCTTTTACTTAAACTTCTTTTTGGATAATTATGTTGGTTTTGGAAGCTAAGGAGCCATGAAGAAGTCAGATTCATGTTGGGGTCTTTTAGGACAAGGTTAAAACATAGTTCAAAATGCGAACTCTTGAAGATTTCCAAGTAATGTATGCAGAAGCAGCACTCTTAATGAAAAGAAGCTAAAATGCATAAAGCTTAGTGTATCTAGTATGACTCTTCATCGGTCATGTGATACCACCTCTTACAGAACACACATAACTTCCTGACATAGTAAGGAAAACTTCAGTAAGTAGTTTTTAATATAACCTTTAGGAGTAACAAAAGAACCTTGAACTGTGTAATATAAGATTGAATTGCTTACCAGTGCATGCAGTCACTTTCTAAAACCTCTAGAAAGAGTTTAGAAGTGTTAAATTATGTCTGTTCTGCTCTTGCTTCTACCTTGTTCCTCTAGTCTGATTCTTGATTTCACTTTGGTTTCTGTACTGATGAAGCAAACTAGTGCTCTGATGAAGCAAACTAGTGCTCTGCTGAATCATACTGATTTGCTTTATGTTCCTGCCGAAGTGATCATAAGTGCAGAACCTGGAGAGAGCTCTGAGGAAGGCATTCCCAGCATCTTGTGAACAAAAGAGATCATTAGTACAATAGAAAGAAGTTTTTCCTGTATCCAGTCTAGACCGCAATTTTTGCAGCAGCTTAGTGTTAAGATTTTTTGTTTCAATGACCTGTTTTTGAGATCCTTACAACCTTTCCTTCCCCTGAAATACTGATTGTTGTCATATACTTTTAAGATGGTTATGGTAGGCTATTTAAAATTTTTAATATTTTTGCAATATTTTCAAGTTCCCTACTTTATCGGCAAGGCAAGAGGGAATCTGAATTTATTTTGAGATTTCATGGAACTTTTTTGAGAAGGTTTGATTAAAAAAATTCTATATTTTGTTTTTCCCCATTTCTAATGCAGAAGATTTCAAGTGATTACTGTATTCTGCTATTTGCTTTTTTAAATCTCTTATAGAAGTATATTCTGTTGCCCAGTTCTGTGATTAGGTGCAGCATGTAGAACCATAGTCAGGCATTCAAGTAACTATTTTGTTTGTTGTAGAACTCAGAATTACCGCAGGCTTTTTTTCCATATTGCTATCACATATCAGCTGTTGATTTCTTGAATCTTATCTAATCATTGCATTTTTGTTTTCCCCCAACCTTTTTTACCTTGATCAAAGGTCTAGTTCTCTGTATGTGGTGGTGGTGGGAAACACAGCACGCAACCAAAGAGCTTGGTCTGATTGGTGGCTTAAAGAGTGCTGAGGAAAAAAAAAATCTTTTTAACAGACTATTTCTCCTTGAAAAGATTCTGAAAGTGAATGAGTGGGTTTTTTGATGGAGTATATTATATAACTGGTTAAGAAATAACCAGCAAAATCTCTGCCTTTCAACCTTAAGGGTGTACTATTAGCTGCAGTAAATATTTAGGAGTTTAGACGTGACACTAAAATGGTCACAAATTAATTATGGCTTATTTTCCACAAAGTAATAATGAAGAAATTCACAGTGGTGTCGTAATCTTACTGTGGAGGTGATACAATGAGTGTCTCATGTCCGCACATTATTGTTTGAAACTGGTTATTTAAGTGTGGATGTAGGCACTAAAAGTAATTGCATGCAAATTTGGTATCATTCCAGTCCTATTAACAGGAGAAATAGTTAGAAGTAAAAAAATCTTAGCAAGATAAACACTCATTAAATAAAAGTTAAAATATCACAAATGATGGTTAAGTACAATTTTATTGAAATTTTAAATGTATCTCTGTGCCTATGAAATTGATAGAACAACAATGATTTCCTGCAAACTTTGAGGAAAGGTAAAAAATGCAAGAATATGAATACAAATGAGTCAGGCAATTGTAGATACTACTGATTGATTAATTGCTTCCCATTTATAATGGGCTTGAGAAGATTTCTGACAAAAGTCTAGTATTTTGGGAGAGACTACAGTAACTCGCATGTTGGAATGTTGCAAAACCACATCATAAAAGAATTAAGTTACAAGATAGAATCATAGAATAGTTTGGGGTGGAAGGGACCTTTAAAGATCATCTAGTCCAATATCCCCCTGCAATAAGCATGGACAGTAGTGGCTTTCAATTTCAGATTTAGCCTTTATGTCAGTCAGTATGGTGTGAAATTTTGACTGTAGAAAATTACCTGTTGCCTGACAGCATCTGCTTTTCCTAACTTGAAGACTATATTCTATATATTATAGCACTTTACCTTCTAAACAGATTAAAGATTTAAATTTATGTTTTCAGACAGATGATACTGACTGGGTGTGTTGCATTTGCCCGACATGTTGGACCAACACGTGTAGAAGCTGAGCTTTTACCACAGTGTTGGGAACAGGTAACTGATTATTTTGTGCTTTATGCTGGAAAATTAGTTAAAAATTCATAAATGTTGAGTTTTGTTTGAGGGGGAGGTTGGTTTGGTTTTGGTTTTCAATGAATGGCAGTTCAAAGTACTTTTCAGAAAGATATTTGTATGTTTTTTGTCCTCATTATATATACTTTTATATAACATTAAAAAGAACTTAGAAGCAGAAAATTTGTCAAAGATTGTCTGGAAATTCTAGCTACCTGCATATACCTGCATATGTTTGTTGTACTGAAATGTAGGTATGCACATGTTCTTCATCAGTGTTGCCTAACCTATTGCCAGGTAGGTGCCTTTGTAATTTGTACTGCAATTTCCAGACTGTTGGAAATCCATTTTCATTCAAAGATTTCATTCGCTGATTTTTATGTTGTATTAAGTCCCCAGAGGAGTTTCCATGTTTAAATTCTTAAACAGAAAATTAAAGATCAAAATAGTTTTGGATGGGCATGATTTTGCACCTGTAAGATCAGCCTGAAGTTTACATGTGACATCACAGTGACCTTTTCCACAGATATTCTAAATTAATAGAAATGACTGAACAACCAAACTGAAATGCTCTTACTGTTTCATCTGAAGCGTGGAAACAGAACAACATGAGTTCAGGTGAAAATGCGTGGTATTTTCCTACCATAATGAAGAAAAAGGAGTTCATTATTGCCTAAAAGACAGTGAATAACTAAGCCGTGACAGAGTAGTAATGCTTGCTTTGATGGCACAGTCTTTCTGGTCTGATAACTGTCAACTCTTTCTTGCATAACGCAGCCATCTGTGTTGCACAATAAAGTCCATGCTTTAATAGTCTTAATGCTTTCTGACAGTAGAAGTACATAGTATCTGCAGCATTTGTGCTTACATGTGTGACTGTTGTATCTATTTATTAAATGAAGGACTCATGGCAATAGTAGTTGAACACAAACCACATTTTGTTTTCTTGCTGTTTCTCATTAAATTTAAACAGTGTTTAAAAAAACCCAAAGCAGTCTCACCTCAGTATTAGCACATCTTCATCATACCAGTTTCTTGCTAATTGCTGATGCAGAAGAGAAACCAGTCCAACTGTAACAGTACAGCATATCAGGCTGCCAAGCCATATGTCATCATGCATTTATTTAATACAGTTTGCCAGACTGTTTGCAGTACTGAAACCAGGTCATTATTTTCTCCAGCAAAATACCAGCTGAATCTCATTGTCACAAGACTGAGTTTGTAGAAGGAACTCAAATGCACATAATTTTCTACCTTTTCTCAGTAGATGCTTTAATCTTGAAAGCGTTCATGCACTTGGTCTCCATCCAAAATCTAATTACAGATGTAAAGGACTGAGCCCTCAGAAGACTGAGCATTTTCATCCACACATTCTGAAGCTCAGAGTTATCAGCCTACCTGCTCTTTGCAGGTAGAATTTGGTAGCTGGCTCGTCTGAGTTTAGATCAGGGCTCTGTGAATGCTAAAAGTTCCCTCAGCACTAGTGACCAGTTAATTGGCTTCCAGAATTGTACTACTGCTTATTAAAGACAAAAGGAAAAGAAATGGTAATAAACATTTTACAGTTACGTTTAAGTTTCCAAGGGCTAATAATCTTCCCTGAACACAAACCTTGCAGAAATTTGAGTCTTTTTTTCCCTCCGGTGTGTCAGTATGTCTTTGCAATATCAGGGTGATATTTATATTGCCTTGCCAGTCTACCTAAACCGGTTGAAATTAGGCTTTGCTGTTTCCCTTGGGTAGGCAGAGCTTCAGAAGCGTATCTCTGTTACCAGTAGGGAATTTGCATTTGGAAAGATGGCACGTACATCAAAGATACTATAGGTATTAAAGCAGCCTGTTATATGGACTACTAAAGGCAAGTCTTCCCAGTAAAGATCAAGACAAAGAAGGCAGTGAGTACCTTGGTCCTTTCTGTGGTAAGATGATTGTCTCACCAAGGCTATACACTGCATAGCAAGAGAGAAAGAAATAGTTGTACCACACGCATATCCTATTTTATCTGACAGGATCAAACTATTTACATTCCCTCTCACTATTTTACCCTAATTTTTTTTGTTCACCAAGTACATTGAAATATATCACATTTCGTTGTACGACCACTGCACTGGCCATTAAAGCTGACTCCACCAGGATGTGAACTTGGTTCCAAAGTGTCAGTGTTAAATTTTTAAGGCAGAATTTGTGAATGGCCCTTGAGTGGAAAGGCGAGGTAGCACAGGATCAAGAGGTTCTTTGGAATAGGAGCTATTTTCAGTCACATTTTAGAGGTGTGACATATTTATGCTGGATCTGAGAGCAGAACTTCAACAGCATGCAGGTATTTTTTGGCTTAGTACGTGTCTTCTTTTGACCCCAGTTGCTCAGCAAGACCTCGGCAGCTGTGCTACACTGGTTGGCTCAGAGCACTAGAGGGCACTTGTGTAGCTCTTAGAGGAATGGTTCTCCTGAAGGGCTACGCAGGACAAAATATTTCATGACGTGCCAGCTCAGAAGTTATTTGTATTCTTTAGAATACAGCAGCCCATACGCTGCTTTCCACCCTTCTTTTTACTGTGTATACATACATGCTTCTCCGATTCTTCTCTTGCTGTGAGATCTATTTTATAGGACAACTCGAGAAGGCTGTATCTGCTTTGTCTTTACGCCTCAGTGCAAGAATCTTGAGGCTGCGTAGTACTCATATGCTACTTCTACAGTCAGTGTTTATTCAAGAGGTGCAGACGTATCCCTCTGTTGCAGTTCATGCTAACCACATTTTGAATACTGGTTACTGCAAAGCAAATAGCCATTCTGTTTCTCTTTACCAGATCAACCACAAATACCCCGAGAGACGGCTACTGGTAGCAGAATCCTGTGGAGCTCTAGCACCTTACCTTCCAGTAAGTGTTAATACTGGCTCTAAATACTTTGCTAGAGAAAGCAAGGTGAAAATCTGTTGCATAATGTAAACATCCTTTATAATTTTAAATATTCCCAAGTGTTTGTTACGCATAGACAATCACAATGTCGTTTACTTTGTATCACACACATGAGATTCAAGAAATCCCATTAAAGAGGAGACAGCTTATTATGAAGGAATACAGGTTAATCTAGTTATAAAATGTCTTTAAAAACAGTATGTTCTGAAAAAATCATCTTTGTTTCAGTAAAGATAAAGATAGTTAGGACAAATTAAGGAAATAATCTCTGAAAAAATAATTGGCACCCAATAACAGAGTTCTTCATGTAACGTTCCACAGTGTCTGAAGAGTGCTGCTGGTCAGAAGCAGCAGCAAAATTAAGTCAGTGGAAAACTTGAATTTAAAGCTTCAGATAGAAGAAGAGAATAACCCAAATTAAAACCTCACTTCTCCAATTTAGCAATCCAGTGATTAAAAATTCTAAGTCTAGGCGTATAGTAGTTTTTTGCTGTTAGTTATTTTTGGTTCCATATGAATGAAAGAACCTGAGTTCTGTGCTTATTAGGACAAAAGGCTCTCTAATGAGGCTACTGACTTTCTATATTCATTCATCTTCTCTTGTGAAAACTGAATGTGTAATATTTATGAAGGGATTTATGGTTGGAAGAAGGGATTTTGTTTGTGACCACTAATAGAAGTGCAAATTATTTATAAAAATGGATATAAACCTGCATTTCTTGTGTCATTGTATTTAACAAGTATGTTTCTTGTTTACAAACAGAAAGAAATTCGTAGTTCATTAGTACTTTCCATGCTGCAGCAAATGCTAATGGAAGATAAGGCAGATCTGGTACGAGAAGCTGTGATCAAAAGCCTTGGCATTATTATGGGATATATTGATGATCCAGACAAATATCAACAGGTATAATTTGGTTTGGGTTCTGTATGTATAAAATATCTTCTATAGTCATTTCATGAATAGAGGGATGCATAATTTCATGTATTTTTATTAAATCTTTCCAGATACTTTAAAAATTTTGATAGTTTATGTGAATGTTGATTTTATTGTATAAAGACCAAAGAGAAAACATATACTTACAAGTATCATTAAAACCTCAGGTATAAGCTTTATACAGAAGCTTCTCTAATAATTCATAATTTGCCTTCAAGAACATATCACTTCATTGCCCACCTGATGCTATTAGCCAATTTGATATCACTCGCTAACAGAGATTTGTCTACTACAACAAAACCTACTTGTATTTCATCTTAATAGTGCCTGATAACATTTCAGATAAGTGAAAATGAAGAACTTCTAATCCTGTCTTTGGGTTTTTGAAGGCAGAGTGGTAAAATCTGTTTGCGTTGATTCTGATAACTTGACTGCAGAGAAATACAAGCAGGATCGTTGAACCACCTACTGTTTACCTATGTAGATGTGGTGGGAATATCTGTTGAAAGGCCTCCATGTACTACCTTGTTTTATTTTTATTACTGTAAAGTTTTAAATAATATATTACAACTTTTTCTAGTCTGCACGTTTTGTGTGGGAAACTTTAGCATAAATTTTAGGAAAGTAATTACATTCTTTATTGTCTTTTACCAGGGCTTTGAACTGCTGCTTTCAGCTTTAGGAGACCCTTCAGAACGTGTAGTTAGTGCAACGCATCAGGTATTTTTACCTGCTTACGCTGCCTGGACAACAGAACTGGGAAATTTACAGTTCCATCTTATACCTACACTACTTAATAAAATTGAAAAATTGCTCAGGGTATGTGTTCAGCTGTTTCTACATTGGAGAATTTTCTTTTTATCTTTATTACATATGCAGGTTTTTAAAAAAAATACGAATATGTAAGTAATTGCTACTTAATGTTGGGGGGGGAATTTTCTGAAGATTCTTGTTGTACCTCCATAACTTTTACTTGTCCTTTGGAAGAAGGAAAAAAAACAACACCAAACCCCCCAAAACCAAGCATGTTCTTCTTTAACAATGTTTTGGTTTACAACTCAATAATCAAACTGCAGTTCAGAAAACTCTTGCTTGAGGCTGTGACTGGATGGTATGTGTTACTCTGTTATGTGCATTTGCCCTATATTTAAATTATTTTTGTGTCACATACTGTATTTTTAATAAACTGCAATATTAAAAAGAAAATAAGTGGACTTAAATGGCTTAGGTCGTTTGCAATTATGAGCCAGTTTGTCTGTATGCTTGATTTGATAGGTATCTGGAAAGTTCTGGAAAATAGGGTATCTCATAGCAGTCTAATGAAGATGCTTGTTTTCAGAGTACAGGCATCTAGTTCATTCAGTTTTTAGATGCATTGGTCTCTGAGACCAGGGATTCACATTTCCAAAATGGGCTGAAAAATGTTCTTTCAGAATATCAGTGTGTTCATTGACATGAACTACGAAATGCCAAAGGCTATATTGCTTGAATCTTTCGAGTAGAAGTGACTTAGAGGTGACAAGGGGATTTGGATGGTGACAGAAAGGAAGCTTGTGGTTAGGATAAATTACAATATAATTAGTGTCTCTGTGTAGAAACTCATCACAGATGTGCTGATCTCTTGCCAGGGAATACATGCCTAAGTAACAGATCATCCAAACCAAAAACTTTAAGTAAATGTCCTGTTTGTTTCAGGAAGGAGAACATGGCTTGGATGAACATAAGCTCCACATGTATCTATCTGCTCTGCAGTCATTGATTCCTTCACTGTTTGCACTGGTGCTACAGAATGCACCTTTCACAAGCAAGGCTAAACTTCAGGGAGAAGTACCACAAATAGAAGGTAAATGATTAATTTCTTATATGTGGAATTTTTGTGAACTTAAGTATAATTCAGTGACAAATCTCAAATTACTATTAACTGCAAAGGAAGAATTTCAGAAAATAGTCCATAGTCCATATTTACATGGGATTTGTGTGTATTTAAGGTTAGTACATAAACATAAGTTGCGGAATCTATGTATAAACTTTAGATTTTTATAGCACATACTCTGTACAATAATGATTTAAGTTTATGTCCCCAGGCCTTTTTTTCTAATCCACCTGTTCTTTATGTTGGTTTTTTTCATATATTGCAAGTACAGAGAAAGAAGTTCAGGGAATCTCTGTCACATTGTGAATTTTCTTTCTTTAATGTGGCTGAGTTGACAGAGAGTTTTGGTTTTGTTTTTTTTTTTTAAGGCAGATTCCAGCATAGGAAGATGTGTCTTGTCATGACATTTTTCTTTGTTCTGTTGTTTTCCTTTTTGGGAAAACATCTACTTTTCCTCCCTCTGCTTTTACTTCATTCCTATTGAAGAAATTAGTCTGATGTGAACCATTATGAGATATTTAACTAATTATAATTATCAGGTTATTGATGCAGAAGAAATATGTAAGTCATGAATATTTACGAAATGATTGCCTGTAGAATAAAGGAGAACTAAATGGTATCCTTGTGGATTTTTTCTGTCTTTACATAGTAGTGTAACAGGCAAAATGGCTTCTTTGTGCCCGGTGACATAGCTTTATGTAATCCAATGAAAATCTTGCAGTGAAATATTTGGTTGTCCTAATACACAGCATAAATTGTGAAAAAAATACTATTATGCCTTCTGATTTGCCTTCTAAATGTTTTTTCATATAGGTCTCCCTTAGCAAATCCTTAAGTAATGCTTCTTTTTTCTACTCATTTCTATGCTTGAGACACCTGATTATCACATAAAAAGTTTTTATTTAATTTCTCATTATTTCTCTCTACTTCTTAAAAGAAGCTTTTGAGAAAGCAAAGCAATCCTTAACTGGATTTCCTGAAGGTGTCTGAGGAATTGATTTCCACTAATAACCGATAACAGCTCAAGAAGGCTGGCCTCAGTTTGGGTTAATTCTTACAAATAAAAAAAAAATGAAGTGGGGAAAAAAACCAGCCTAGTGCAGGAGGTTCACCATCTGTTATGTATCTCCGTAATATCTTAGCTGACTGAACGGCCTTATAGTGAAGTTATGCTTAAATCAGCAGTCCTAGCCTGTAGAATGTTTTCTCCCGCTACAAATACTTTTAAAAGATATTGGTAATACCTGCCACATGCTGATAATAGTGCTGTGTGTGAAGATGCAAAGAAAGGGTAACAAATTTAAAGGAGAATTTGGAAGATAGCTGGTGGTACTTACTGTATGATATTAATGTGAAAATGTTAAATGTCCTATGGTAAAACTTGTTCAGCTGACTTGAGTCATTTGAAGATGAGCGCTTTTTCCCTGAGTGGCTACTGCTTAAATAAGGAATTAAAAAATTCAGACTTCAGCCTAGTCTGACAGTTTCTTCCTCCACAAAAGTGGAGGAAAAGTAAATCACATGTACTTTTCACTAATCTAGTAGCATTGCAGGAACTGCAAGCTTGCTTTCTTGAATTTTGCAGTAGGAAAGATGATGTTCTTGTTGCTTAACTTCATTGCTGAATAATTTTAATTATGCTTGACATGAATTGAGAATAATAAAAGCAATGTTGGTTTAGCAGGCTTTCAATCCCCAGATATTTGAATGGTCTTGAATTTTTTCGAGGTCTTGTTTTTTAAGTGTAAATTATTTTCTTTGGATAATTAAGATAATTAAGGAGTTGGGGGAGGGAGTGCATTGTGTCAAAAACTACATTGTATACAAAGGTTGGAGCGGTTAGATGATTAAAGGGTAGCAATAGAAGTCAGGAAACCTTGCCAGCAAGTCACTCTACTGTAAATCTGTGGTATGTTCTTTGGGATCATAGAATTGTAGAATGATTTGGGTTGGAACGGATCTTTAAAGGTCATCTAGTCCAACCCTCCTGCAATAAGCAGGGACATCTTCAACTAGATCAGGTTGCTCAGAGCCCTGTCTAACCTGATCTTGAATGTTTCCAAGGGGACAACATCTACCACCTCTCTGGGTAACCTGTTCCAGTGTTTCACCACCCTCACTGTAAAAAAATTCTTCCTTATATCTAGTCTGAATCTACCCTCTTTTACTTTAAAACCATTACCCTTTGTCCTATCGCAACAGACCCTACTAAAAAGACTATCCTCATCTTTCTTATAAGCCCCTTTTAAGTATTGAAAGACCACAATAAGATGTTCCCAGAGCCTTCTCTTCTCCAGACTAAACCACCCCAACTCTCTCAGCCTGTCCTCAGTCAGAGAGATGTTCCATCCCTCCGATCATTTCTGTGGTCCTCCTCTGGAACCACTCTAACAGGTCCATGTCTTTCTTGTATCAAGGACTCCAGAGCTGGACACAGTACTCCAGCTGGGGTCTCGCCAGAGCAGAGTAGAGGGGGAGAGTAACCTCACTTGACCTGGTGGCCATGCTTCTTTTTATGCAGCCTAGGATACAATTGGCTTTCTGGGCTGCGAGTGCACATTGCCAGCTCATGTCCAGTTTTTCCATCCACCAGTACCCCCAGTTCCTTCATGGCAGGGCTGCTCTCAATCCCTTCATCCCCCAGCCTGTATTGATACCAGGGGTTGCCTCAACCCACGTGCAGGACCTTGCACTTGGCCTTGTTCAACCTTACGAAGTTCACATGGGCCCACTTCGTGAGGTTGTCTGGGTCCCTCTGGATGGCATCCTGTCCCTCAGGCATGTCAACTGTACCACTCAGCTTGGTGTCATCTGCAAACTTGCTGAGTGTGTACTTGATCCCACTGTCTATGTCATTGGTGAAGATCATAAACAGTATTGGCCCCAATACAGACCCCTGAGGGACACTGCTCATCACTGATCTCCATCTGGATGTTGAGCCCTTGACCAGTACCCTCTGGATGCGGCCATCCAACCAGTTCCTCATCCACTGAGCAGTCCATCCGTTAAATCCGTATTTCTCCAATTGAGAGAGAAGGATGTTGTGGGAGACCATGTCAATGGCCTTACAGAAGTCCAGATAGATGGCATCTATAGATCTTCCCTTGTTCACTGATGTAGTCACTCCATCATAGAAGGCCACTAGGTTGGTCAGGCAAGATTTGCCCTTAGTGAAGCCATGCTGGCAATAATAATTCCATAGTCTCCTTGTACCAGCATTTTCTCTTTTTAAGTGAGGGTTATGTATCCTCTTCAGTGATGGATTTAACTCACTGATTTTTAAAAAACAATTTGATAACCTTACACAGAAGGCATTAAAGAGTTTCAGACATTCTTAGCTATCTTTACTGACATCACCTCCGAGATATTTTCTTTTTTTTTTTTTTTTTTTTTTTTTTGTTCATGATCACTTGTTCTCTGCTGTTACAGTCACTAGATTTCCCCGACCTGTATCGCCTCTTCAGGATGTGGCCATCATCATTGGAAGCCGCGAACAATTAGCAGTGTTGTTGCAACTGTATGACCACCAGCTAGAACATGAGGGTACCACAGGCTGGGAGACTTTGCTATGGGTAGTCAATCAACTGTGAGTTAATTTGTATCTTATGATTCCTAATTTTAAAATGTGTGAAAATTAATAGTTCTTAAGCATGGTAATGTCTAACAATTATTAAACATAAGACTTTTAAGTATGATTGTGTTTAAGAATTATTGAAGAGGAAAGATTGATTTTTTTTTTTAGATGTTTTAATTTTATACTGAATTGGTTTTGATTTTATTCAACTGTCTAGCAGAATGTGTAGGTAACTACTTGCTCCAAAAAATTGTTTCTTTCACCTTTGCAATAGTGTAGTCAAGTCTCTGTTGAAGCGAAGATTGTTTTAGTCTGAATATCTCATGAAATACACTGTTCTGCAGTAACAGATGTTTGAAGATGTTTTCTGGCACTTAAACCCTTGCTTTCTTCAAGGGTCAGGAATTGTACAGAACATGTAGGTAATTGTATTAGAACCAGTAGTGCACTCTGTGTGTACAGATATATTAATATAAACAGTAAATCTATACCAATATAACTGGAGAGAAACAAAAGATCAGAGTAGTGTTTAATATCCTTTTGTTTCCTGATTTTTAGGCTACCACAGCTTATAGAAATAGTTGGCAAGATCAATGTAGCATCAACTGCCTGTGTCCATGAGTTCTCCAGATTTTTCTGGAGACTTTGTAGGACATTTGGGAAAATTTTTACAAACACTAAGGTAAGGTATTACCTTAAATATTCTACAAAAAGAGTACCTTGATAATACATATTCTACATATTTAAGGTGTACCTGAATACCCACACTTTATGTCACCATTTATATTTGCATGTCACACTGATGCTTTTCTATAAGTATGTTTAAACTTGCTATTTTTAAACCTCTATTTGCATTGTTTTGATTTCTGGTTTTGACCATTTTGGAATAGCCTTCTCACCCAACAAGGAAGGATTATTTTTTAATCTGTATTCTTCATATTTGCTTTGTGAATAGCATAGAGAGTGGGAGAGATCATCCTAATTCTAGTGATTTAACAATTTTCTTTCTTCAGAACAGCCTACTGCTTGGTGTTTGTGGTGTACATAAGTACTCCAGTCTGTACTTGATTGGAAATTTAAAATTAATGCTTTCCCTGCCCGAAATATTTTTCAAGTTATCTAAACATTTTTATCAAGGAAATACATAATTTTTCTCAATAAAATAACTTCCTAATATAATTCAAAAGTATTTTAAAGGGAAATTATAAAACAGTTGAGGATTACCTAAAGATAAAATTACAAAACAGGGTTAGCATTATGTGCTGCCTCCAGAGAGGAGATTAAAACCAGTCTCTGGTCTTTGAAAGCCCCTTCTATAAGTTATCTTTAGATCCCTTGCTTCTGTAAAATTGTTCCGATACTGATTATCACAGCCATATTTTGGAAGAGAGCACTTCATGGACAGCAAAGGTATAAACCAAAACCATTTATTATAGCTTAGTAAAACCATAAACCCTAAAGCCCAATGAAGCATAATGCTAAGAGAATTCAGCTTTTGCTATCAGAAGTGCTAAATAATGCTACCTCAGTGTGGGTACTCAGTAGAAATTTTTACTCTCTTATATCATGCTTTCAATTTGCATAAAAACTGGCTATGCTTTTTAAAGGGGTTTTTTTTCTTTCCGTACCTTCAAAATGTCCTTTTCCTGTTGGTGGGGGGTTTTTATTATTACACTTAATTTTTTTCCTAATTGACACTGGTAACAGGTTTTCTTACATGGGATTCATCATTCTTTGTATAGGTAAAACCACAGTTCCAGGAAATCTTAAGACTGTCTGAGGAAAACATAGGTAAGTAGCTTTTTACACAAATGAATAAAAATTGATCTTAACCACAACTGGAAAAAACAGGGGTTTTTGTCAATCTCTTGTTCAAGTAACATTTTCAGACTGCAGTTCTCAAATTTGTCGTCTTTCTGAAATGTTGAAAATCTAATCTTAATCTGAATGGAATACTCTAAAGTTGTAGATTGTGTGTGTATATAAAGTACAAATAAAATCTCAAATCTAAATACTACTTGAGCATTATTTTAGCGCGTGTGTGTATATGCATATATATGTATAAAAATTCTTTATGTATATATGAAAAGGTAAATATATATAAAATACTTACAGTACACACATATACGTCTACCTTTTTGTATATATAAAAAATATAGATTACCCACACACATATATGTATATGTAAAACCTAAATTCTTCACCATCTTTCATTAGATTCCACAGCAGGTAACGGAGTGCTAACAAAAGCCACAGTTCCCATCTATGCAACAGGGGTCCTTACGTGTTATATTCAGGTTGGTTTGTTATTCTGTTTCTTTGTTGAATGTATAGTAATGTGTAAAACTTATTCTACAAAAAAACCCTTACCGTTTTCTGTGAAAACTTAGTGCTCTTGTGCTTTGAAGATAGATAAGTGAACAGCTGTAAACACTCTTAAAAGCAAAGCTTTGTAGTCAAGTTGTCTCCTACATTTAGACAATAGTCATCAATGTTAAAACCTGAATTCAGTAAATCTTAAAATGACATCTGACATCTTCACCACTGCTAACTCTCAGACATTGACAGCTGCCATGCGCCTCTATCAAAAATATTGTTACTTTATAAATGGGTTTTTGGCTATTTAACTGTAATCCCTGAAAACATAATTTTGCAAAATTTACTGAAACAGTTAAGCAGGTAAATCACCATTTTGGGCACAGTTGGAGTCTTAAAATTTTAGCGTTACCTGGTACTAAAATAAACACTCCATGAATAATAGTCTAGTAACCAGCAGTTATGGACTGCCATATCCATAGCTTACAGGAAAAAAATAAATACTTCATCAGCTCATAAATGTTTAGTGGATTGTGAGCAATCACAAACTGTCAGGAGCCATGCAAGTGCGTAAGTACTCTTTTTAAAAGTTTCTTTAGTAAAACAATTTGGGTAATTTACGCACAAGTATGCGCTTAGTTGATGAAGTACAGAAATACAGTCTCGTGTTTGCTTTGAAAAGCTCTTGTTATTAAACTGCATTTTTGCAGTTCCTAAGAAGATTGTTAAAGGCTAAATCTAGTTTGTTCTCACTCATAGCTTGATTCTTTTGTAGCTGTAGGTCATCACAGCTGCAGCAATACTTCTACTACATTCAACATTGTACACTTCTTTCAGGAAGAAGACCGTAAGCTGTTAGTTGGATTCTTAGAAGATGTAATGACCATGCTTTCACTGTCCCATGCTCCTCTTGATAGCCTGAAAGCTTCCTTTGTGGAACTGGGGTAAAGAATATACCTTGGAGTTGACTAGATCTAAATACATTAGAAGTTTTTATTCAAAGCTGCTAATCTGGGTGTGATTTTAATAACTGTGATGCTTCAGGTGAATGAAGGGTATACTTGCTTTTTTTCCTTGGTGTTTCACAACCATTAAACTTTTAATCTCTAGAGTAAAAATGCAGTGCTAAAAAATTCTGAAGCTTAGAAAAAGAAACACCAAAAACCAAACAAAAAACCTCACAAAAATCAGTCATTTAAGATAAAATGGAAATTCATTTTGTATTTCCCATACTTCATTTTGTATTTCCCATACTATTATGATGTGTTCTAGATGTACCTGCATTCAGTTCAGTGTCATCATTTATTGAAAATTACAGTCTTACAGGTTTTTTTTTTTTTAAATTAACTTCGAAATGCAACATATTTTCTACACAGCAAGATGTTGCATGTCCTTCAGAATGAGATAAATGTCATGTATCCTTCAGAAAGGATAAATGTTGGAGTGTGAATCCATTTGTTGAGCAATGGATTCTTGAGACTACATTTTGTAGACGAAGAACATACTCAGGGTTTGGGAGTACTTTTTTTTTTTTTTTTTTTTGATTGCCCGACTGTTTTCTTGTAGTGCAAATCCAGCTTATCATGAGCTGCTATTAACTGTCTTATGGTATGGAGTTGTCCATACTTCTGCTCTGGTTCGATGTACAGCTGCTAGAATGTTTGAGGTAAGTGTTACCCAAATTTTTTTACACCTTTTTAAAACTAGAGTTTATTTTTAAAACAATGATTCAGGTAACATTTCTACATTCTTAAAAATTACAAATGGCTTAAACTGTGTACTGTGTGATGGAGCAGGAAGTTGTTGTGCAGTTGTTTCTGTGTCTGTTCTCTGTTCAACTGCACATCTTTCATTAAGCAATTTGTCATTAGCCACTTGCAAGATGTTTCTGTAGTAACTGCATATGTGTTCTTTGATCTGCTGCTGACTTGTTTCATTCTGATTATTGCATGCTGAAAAACCTTTTCCAATTATGAAAACAGATTTCATTGCTAAACTGTGTTCAAACCAGAATTTAAATACATTGTCAAATGTGTTTGCTTAGGTTTGTAGATAAACATAAACAAGCATCTCTCTGGGTTTTTACATTTGCTTTTGCTATTACGCCTTAAATATTTTTGAGTTGTTGAGGGGTTTTTTTAATCTAACAAGAACACTGCTTATTTTATATTTGTAAGAATAAGGGGTTGTGGTTTTTTAATAAACATTAGCCAAACCTGTGAAAGACTTGATTTACAACAAGCTGTTGCCTTGAGTGCAGTTTCTTTTCAAATTCAACTGCATGTTGACTATTTTTAGGCAGTCCTGCATGCTATTTGACTGCTTGTTTCCTAATATACTTCAATTTTTACTAAAGCATAGGCAACTTTGTCGCAGAGACTTTTCTCACTTGAAAATAGTATCATATTGTCACTTCCTTGATAGCCATAGCATACACATTTTACATGGCAATATGTAAATTTGGGAAGTCACCTGTGTGAAGAGGTGGTAATAGTTCCACTTCTGGAAAATTCCTTCATTCGAGGAATTTCTGACATCTCAGAGGCTGCTGAATGGCAAAGCCCAGCCATTAGATAACAAGATGAAAAGCATGTCATCTGCAGGACAGCTATATGAGAGCTATAAAGATTCTGAGCTGCACAGTGGTCTGTGCAGCTGCACAGAGACTGCTGTGATTGGGGCCTGCCAGGCTGCGTTACCAAACCTTTACAGTCTGTTAAGGATCGGAAGGACACAGACGTGACTTGGAGCCATTCCGCCTCTTCTCTCCTTCGGGGGCAGGAAGCTTTGTGCTACCATTTTTAAGGTGTAGTATGCATAAGTAATAATCACACATTCATCTAGAGGAATCAAAACAGGATAAAAATTTGCATTGGCTGTTTCACTGTAACCTTACATGCTGCTACATGGCTTTGCCCATCCAGCTGTTTCTGTTGCTTCTGTGTAATGTTTTCAGTCAGTAGTTTCTCATTTGAATGTTGATGCAAACGGACTTGATTGCTGCTGGTTTGAACATGAAGCACTTAGCTGAGTTACAAGCTTTGTTGGTCTGTTTAGGTTCAAGGCTAGGAATGCTTATCTTCAGAATGACACGAATTATAAAGCATGTTTTATTTTCTGTAAGACAGAACGATGCTGTTTACCATACTGTACCATAATTAGAAGTGTGGTGGCCCGCATAGTCATTCTAGAGATCATTCTAAATTGTTTGCTAATTATACAAATCCCAAGTATTTTTTTTTTTCAAAGCACTACATTACCTCTAGCCTTCTGTCAAGATTAGTAAAGAAACTCAAGTCCCTATTTGTTCAAAATTGAAAATAGTAAGCATTCTCTATTTTAATCAATGGGAAAATTGGTAAGTCTGTATATGGGAGTAAGATCATCGTAATGAAACTGAGCTATGTCCTTAACAGCTGTTTGAAGAGTAGCCCATAAGCACTTTAAGTTGTTGCCACTGTAAATAATGTGAAATGAATTCATGGTAAAATGTGGTAGTTGAACTGAAATTCCTAATACTTTCTGAATAACAAGTATATGAAGTTGCAGCTTTCCCCCTCTGGGTGCTTTGCAGCAAGAATGTGTATGTTCTTACGTAGCTTAACAATTCTCTCCCCATTCTTCCTCCTCCAGTTATTATCTGTAAGGCCACAATATGTTCAGTGCCCATGTGCACCCATGCCTGCATGCACATACATGCACATACAAATACTGCTTAATAAAAATTACTGCTTTGTATAGAAAGCTTCTGGAAAGTCAGGTTCCTTCCAATCTTTCATAATTCACTTTGTTTTAAATTCAGAGTTAGTAAAGCAGGAAT